ATATATATAAATTGATTATATGTATATATATATATAACATCTCACTATATATATATATATATAGTGTTATATATATATTATATATAATATATATATATATATATATATATATATATATATATATATATTATATATATAATATATATATAACACTATATATATATATATATAGTGTTATATATATATATATATATATATATATATATATATATATATATATATATATATATATATATATATATATATATATATATATATTATATATATTATATATATATATATATATATATACATATATATATATATATATATATATATATATATATATATATATATATATATATATATATATATATATATATATATATATATATATATACATATGGCGCCTTTTCTTGACTCGGCGCTCCCCCTAACCCGAAAACCTGTATACGACTCTGATCCTCCTCCGCACAGTGTAATAATCAATTACATAAGAAATACATAACAGCTGACCCATAATTTCTTTTATTTATCGTAGCCAATTAATTCTTTTTCATGCGTCATACAAAGTCTCATTAGAATGTTAACTAGCGGTATGTGTTGAGACATTTGGCTTAACACAAAGACGTGAGTTGCGTGTCAAAGCAGTGTTAGTTTTTTAACTGCCGCTGACGCTATTGGAAGTTATAAGACTTGCGAGGTCGGTCTATTTACCGTATCAAGAAACTATGTGTAAACGTGTGGCTGTGGTTGAGTATCTTTTTTATAATCTATATATACAATTCTCTTCTTGGTGACGTTAAAAACAAGCTGTAAGCGAGCCTTGCAGTCCCCTCTCTCTCCTTCTCTCTAGGCATATCACATGGTCTGGCGAGCTGTGGTTCACGCTAAATGTTTACAATCGTAGAGCCGGGTTTAGTGACGGCTATTTGGGGCAGACAATTTAGTTTGAAATGATTTTAAACTTAGGGGAGGTAACTAAGAGGGGGCTGCTTTCAGGGGGTAGGGGTTGGGCGAAAGGAGGGGGGGGTATCGTCCTTAACGAGCTACTGATAGTGTTTTAAAGCAAATATTTTCAGTGGCAGCATTGGTACTGTCGAATTCACAAATTATGAATTACTGTAAAAGTAGAAAAAACAACAACTAAATAGCGGCGGGTCGGCTCGTTTATTTTAATTTTGATTATAATTAAAAATAGTTCCACATCCAGTATTAGCTTAGAACTGAGTGTAGATTTAGCAGTAATTGCATCTACATCAATTGGAGAAGTACTCCACTTTTGTCAATGTCCTTCTTCTTCGGCATTGGAGAGGATTTCCTACATAATTAAATATTACGCATTAATAGGTTATGCGCCATATATTATATGACTCCGACTTCAGCCTGAGAGTTTTTTCTCGCTTTGCTTTGTAAGTACAATCTGCAAGGCAGTAGTTGTATGATGGTGGAATTTTCTCTCCTACCCGGATGCTCTATGTCCCTAGCGAACGAGCCGTAACAAAAAAACAATAGTGGAGACCATTAGGCGATAGGATTATCAACCCTGATTTCCTTTCGGCAGCTTCTGCAACCGAAGCTGGTACCAAAATTGTTGCATGTCTTTCTTTTGGACTATATCAGCAAAGCTCGAGAGAGTGAGTTCTGTATTTAATGCCGTGTTAGTGTTACACTAGTGTTACTCGCCAGTCGGATTTCTCTAGACCAGAGGTCTCCAAACTACGGCCCGCGGGGTCCTCTCAACCGGCCCGCGGTTATTTTTTGTCCAAGGAAAAAAATGTTTCAGGTGGCTGAGGAACTTTGCCCAGAAAATTCAAAACAATTTGAAAATGTAGCTTAGGGTGCAAATACCATTGCCCGCCGTGTTACAGACAGTGGTGAAAACGTTGTGACTCAAATAGTGAAAAATGCAAGCAAGGTTCGCCATTTTTCAATTGCAATGGATGAGTCGCTAGACAGCTGTTCCTCCACTCAACCTAGTGTGCTCATTAGAGGTTTGGATGAAGACATGAAAATAACACACTAGTTTGCTTCGCTACATTGCATGTATGGCGCTGTTACCTGAGAGAATATACTCAATGAGTAAACAAATTGCTGATTATAACTAGGACTGTTACCTGAATTTTGATGGAGGAAAGTACATGATTGGCGTTAAGAAAGGCTTGGTTGGAAAAGCGAATGAGAAAAACATTCTACAACCAATGTCCCTGCACTGTATTATTTGCCATCAAGCTTTGTGTACTAAATGCATGGACTATAGCAGTGTACTGAATCATGTGATGAAGATGGCGAATTCAATAAGCTCACAACCATCGATCCGCCACCCCGAAGAGGTGCCTGGAAGAAACTCTGGCCCCCGAACTGATATTTGGTAGTTAATGCAGCCCTCGGGCTGAAAAGTTTGGAGACCCCTGCTCTAGACCTTAAATCTGAGATATGTAACTCAGATCGAACTTAGCGCTAAACAAAAGGGAAGTTTTATAAACTCTAGTTGTGTTCGCAACATTTTCTTGGGGTTAGCGTTGTACCTCAGGGTAGGCGTCTTACTTAAGGGTTGGCGTCTCCCCCCAGGGATGGTGTCTTACCCAAGGGCAGTAGCGTTACAAGGTAGGGGGAGCTCAGGGTCCGCACCAGGGGACATGTAGGACGTATCACCAATGCGAAAAATGGTAACATTTATTGTCAAAACCATGGTTAATCTTGAAAAAATAAAATAAAATGGCAGGCCGAAATAGTTGACATCAAACCCAAAATTATTGGAGGGTGGGGCGCCAAACTTAGTTACTGCACTAGGTGACACCAGACTTAGTGACGCCACAGTCTCAGAGTTGGCGTCTTACCACAGAGTTTGCGCCTTACTCCAGTGTTGGCGCCTTACTGTTGTCGTCTTACTCCAGTGTTGGCGTCTTACCGAAGGGTTGGCGTCTTACTCCAGGGTTGGCGTCTTACTGTTGGCGTCTTACTCCAGGGTTGGCGTCTTACTCCAATGTTGGCGTCTTACTCCAGTGTTGGCGTCTTACTGTTGGCGTCTTACTCCAGTGTTGTCGTCTTACTGTTGGCGTCTTACTTCAGTGTTGTCGTCTTACTGTTGGCGTCTTACTCCAGTGTTGTCGTCTTACTTTTGGCGTCTTACTCTAGGTTTGTCGTGGGATCGGCGTGGTCGAGTCGGTAAAGCTCATGGCTGCTAAACCGAAAAGTCTCGAGTTCCAACCCTCGTGCAGATGAGGCTCGTTAGCTGGGGACAGCAACTCTTCTAGGAGAGACAACTCCAAAATCAAACAACTGTTGCCTTGTAGTTTGTTCTTGGTTGGACAAATGCTATGGAAGCAAATCCAAAAAGAAAAACTGCCTGAAATTGGAGTCAATGGCCTCAATGGCGCATAACCAGATGACACGTATCCTTAATTGTGTTGGAAAGGTGTCCCTTCCAACACTAAAATTAAGAACCAAGAAGAAGAAAAAGAAGTAGGGTTGTCGTCTAAATCAGGGTTGACGACTTAGTGTTGGCGTCTTACTCCAGGGTTGGCGTCTTACTCCAGGGTTGGCATTTTTACTCCAAGTTTGGCGTCTTACTCCAGGGTTGGCGTCTTACTCCAGGGTTGGCGTGTTACTCCAGGGTTGGCGTCTTGCTCCGGGGTTGGCGTGTTACTCCAGGGTTGGCGTCTTGCTCCGGGGTTGGCGTCTTATTCCAGGGTTGGCGTCTTACTCCAGGGTTGGCAGTTTACTCCAAGGTTGGCGTCTTGCCCCAGGGTTGGCGTCTTACCCCTGGGTGGCGTCTTACCCCTGGGTGGCGTCTTACTCCAAGGGTGGCGTCTTACCCCTGGGTGGCGTCTTACCCCTGGGTGGCGTCTTACCCCTGGGTGGCGTCTTACCCCTGGGTGGCGTCTTACCCCTGGGTGGCGTCTTACCCCTGGGTGGCGTCTTACCCCTGGGTGGCGTCTTACCCCTGGGTGGCGTCTTACCCCTGGGTGGCGTCTTACCCCTGGGTGGCGTCTTACTCCAAGGGTGGCGTCTTACCCCTGGGTGGCGTCTTACCCCTGGGTGGCGTCTTACTCCAAGGGTGGCGTCTTACTCCAAGGGTGGCGTCTTACCCCTGGGTGGCGTCTTACCCCTGGGTGGCGTCTTACCCCTGGGTGGCGTCTTACCCCTGGGTGGCGTCTTACTCCAAGGGTGGCGTCTTACCCCTGGGTGGCGTCTTACCCCTGGGTGGCGTCTTACCCCTGGGTGGCGTCTTACTCCAAGGGTGGCGTCTTACCCCTGGGTGGCGTCTTACCCCTGGGTGGCGTCTTACCCCTGGGTGGCGTCTTACTCCAAGGGTGGCGTCTTACCCCTGGGTGGCGTCTTACTCCAGGGTTGGCGTCTTACTCCAAGGGTGGCTTCTTACTCCAGATTTGGCGTCTTACGCCAGGGTTGGCTTCCTATTCCAGGGAAGGCTTTTTACTCCAGGTTAAAGAATCTAATGCTAAACCACCTAATTTGTATTCACGGATCATTCAAACTCAACTCATCAGGTAACAGGTGCCAACAAAGGCATCGGTTTCGCTATCGTTCGAGCCTTGTGTACACACTTTGACGGGGATGTTTTACTTACCGGTAGGTTGAACTTATACAATAATGTTGGCGTACAACTAAAGATAACTAGGAGAATTTCACGTCATACATTGCCAGGAAAATTTTTGGATAATTTAAATCAATTATTTGAGATGTTTAAAAGTCTTTAAAAGCGTACTATTATTAAGAGGAGGTGAAACTTACATAAACGTGTTTGTATATATTTACGTTAGGCTTATTTTTATATTTCTACAGCTCGTAATGTAGAGCGTGGTACCAAGGCAGTTTCAGATTTGGAGAAAGAAAATCTGCATCCTAAATTCCACCAGCTGGACATAGATGACCATAACAGTGTTGTAAGAATTCGTGACTTTCTGAAAGAAAACTATGGAGGTCTGGATATTCTTGTAAACAATGCTGCAATTATGTACAAGGTTATTTTTTTTCTTTCTTCCTTTTACTTTCTCATATATACAAATTATAGAGAAAGTCTTGTAATCGTGCCAAAAAAAAAATCGAGATTTTTGCAAATCTCGGCGTTTTACAGCTCCCTGAGTCGGAAAAACATAGTTTTGCAATGTTGTCCGTATGTCATTGTGTTGGATGTGTGTGTGGATGTGTGTCTGTGGTTGTATGTCTGTAAACATGATAACTTGAGTACCGTTACAGCTAGGATGATGAAATTTCATATATAAGTATTATATCAAAATCGTAGATCCGTGTCAACTTTTGAGCGATTTCCGATAATCGAAAGTGGAACTTTTTCTACTTTGAATTTTTCAAAAGCCTATAACTTCAGCACTATTTCAGATAGATAAATGAAATTTCACATGTAAGTAAAATATCTAATTCTCTTACTTCTATCAAATTTGAGTAATTTATGTTGACCGGAAGTAGTAATTTTCGCTATTTCCGATTTCTCGAAAAACGACGGTGTATTTATAAAGTACTAATAATATTCCGCACTATTATGCACTTTTTATTTGGCGTTCACGTAGTGTGCCATTCTTTTTTCTACGAGATTTTATTCTTTCTAAAAAAGTTTAAGTATGTAAAATGGATTAAAATGCATGTCAATATCCCGAGTTGCCATCCCCTGTTGTTTCATATAAGAATATTCGAGAAAGTTTAGGGGAGATCACTCCCGGTTTATTTTTCTTGTGCACTAAGCGTTTTTAGTTTTTTGCATACAAGTTGATTTAATGTTTCTTTTAAATTACATACAAGATTATTTTATTCTTTTGTCATCGTATACAAACTTACATAAGATGGGTGGCTGTCTATTGAAATATTACATAACTTTATATGCGGTTGGAGGGAGATCTTTTTTTCCTTCTAATATATCAGTCTAATCGCTTACACAGGATGATAGAGTATTAAATTGTCTATTCAAATGTGGTTTCATTGCATGGGAAGGTAAATCTGTATATTGTGTTTTTTAAGGAGCTATGCCGTCTTATGACGATAGGGTTAGGAAAATTTACAACTGCGTGACTCCATTGATGGTTGAGATCTTTATCTTCTACAGCCAGAATCAACCGCTCCATTCTCTGAACAAGCTGATGTCACAACAAAGACGAACTTCTTCAACACATTAAATGTTTGTCACGTTCTCTTCCCTTTACTTCGGACACAAGCTCGGTCAGTGAAGTTAAAATCCACAGTTCAAACTAAATTATTATGAATTTTATTTTTATTTTTTGTTTTTACTGTTACACAATCGAGTTTGAAAACAATTAAATCAGTAGGAATATCTTAAAGCCTTGCGTCCGTTTATTTTCTAAACGTTGTGTGAAATTCAATAATTCAGCTTAAAATTAGCTTTTCCAAAAATATTCTACCCATTTTTGCGTCTGCCTGCTGCCCTGCCTCCTTAGCTACGCCACTGTTGACTCTACTCCAGCGTACTTTTCCTTCTGGATTTGCATCCATAGCAGTGTTTATTCCAGACTTTTTTCTCCGGGGGGGAGGTGGGGCACTTGAAATTTTTTTTTTTGGGGGGGGGGGGGGCGGTAGACTTTCTTCGGGGGGGGGGGGCGGACACTGTTAAAAGTATATATTTTCTATATAAATTATATAAATATCATTTCGTTCGGGGAGGGGCGGTAAAAAATTTGCCTGGAAGAAACTCTGATCCATAGGCTGCGTCCATTCCACACCAACAACAAAAAAACGACAAGGCATCAGTTGTTTAATTTTGGTATTTTCCATTCTAGACGAGCTGCTGTCCCCAGCTAACGAGGCTCATCAGCCGGGGGTTTCAAACTCGGTTAAGTTAGCAATCTTACATTATCCCGCCCTACCAGGCCGTCCCCCAATAGCAACCAATAACCGCGCATTCATCCTGACAACGAAGTACTAAATCGGTTCCCAGAAAAATGCCCAAACGGGAAAAAAATGCGCATTCGAAAACTGCGTTAATAGAAGAATGCGCAAATACAAACTAACTATACTGATGCTTTTTCATTATGTCATATTTCGCAGGGGAGTGGGGGGGGTGTTTTCCTATGCTACAAGTGGTCACTTTTTTTTATTTTAGATTTTCTTGCGCACATTTTTGTGGGCAGTTTTCCGTTGCGTATTTTGGAGACATTAACAATTCGTCAAGAAGTATTTCTGTTGCTTCCCATACATCGCTGAAATATTTTTCTCTCTGCAAAAGGGTAGTGAATGTGTCCAGTCTTAAGTCATACACGGCTCTGTCAATGTGTTCAGAGGAAGTTAAAGCCAAGTTCACTGCCCCTGATATCACTATGGATGAGCTGACCTCAATCATCCAGTCATTTGTTCGGTAAGGAAATTACAATGCCATGCCATGTATCTCTCTTTTTAACTTTATCGTATACGAAGTATAGAGAAAGTATTGTAATCGTGCAAACATAAAATCGAGATTTTTTCAAATCTCGACGATTTACACCTCCCTGAGTCGGAAAAACATAGTTTTGCAATCTTGTCCGTATGTCTATGTGTGTGTGTATGTGTATATGTGTGTGTGTCTGTAAACACGATAACTTGAGTACCGTTACAGCTATGCTGATGGAATTTCATATATAAGTATTATATCAACTTTGTAGATCCGTATAAACTTTTGAGCGATTTCCGATAACTCGAGTACTATTTCAGATAGATAAATGAAATTTCACATATAAGTAAAAGATCTAATTCTTTGCCTTCAATCAAATTTTGAGTAATTTCGGTTGACCGGAAGTAGTAATTTAGGCTATTTCCGATTTCTCAAAAAACGCATGTGAATTTATAAAGTACTAATAATATTTCGCACTATTATACACATTTTATTTGGCGTTCACTTGGTGTGCAATTTTTTATACTACGAGATTCTATTCTAATTTTAAAAGTTTAAGTAATTAAAAATGGATTTAAAATATTATCCATATCCCGAGTTGTCATCCCCCGTAGTGTTATATAAGAATATTCGAGAAAGTTTAGGGGAGATCACTCCCGGTTTATTTGTTAAAGTTAACGCAAAGGCTTTGTTTACGGTTGTTTTGTTTATTTTTTAAACATATTTTGCAAGAATGCGCCTACTTCTGTAAGATGTTATGTAATAATTTAAACGAAAAACTGGAATCCCCAAAGAAAGAGGAAAGTAGGTAGGCTAAAACAAACATGGGAATGGTTTTAACTCTCGGCAATTTCCTTTCACATCTTCTAATTAAATACGTAATAACGACGAACTGTGAAAACTAGTGATGGTAATTACAACTGTTTCATTTAATTCGTTAGTTTGGCTCAGGACAACAAACACCAACAGGCAGGTTTTGCTGACACAGCTTATGGCATGTCAAAGGTCGGTGTCACTGTCATGTCAATGATTCAACAGAGGGAACTGGACAAGAAAGGCTGTCAAGATATTGTTGTCAATGCGGTAGATATGAATCTTCTCCTGTCCATTTTTTCCCGAGGGCCTCAAATATACATGCTCCTTAGCACAATTGAAAGTAATCAGAAATCTTCAGAGTGCAATTTGGACACTGTAAAATACCCTTTCGGACTGCCCCATAGGGCAGGTGAAGTAGAGTTCCCCTATTTCAGTGACCCCAGCACATGAAGGGATAGTGAGGTCATCAATATTCACAGCCAATACTTCAACCCAGGATTCGAACTCGAGACTTTCGGGTTAGCAGTCGAATGCTCTACCTACCGACCACGCCGTCCAACAATCCGGCTACTGTAAGATGCTTATATTTGGGTGGTGTGGAGCATAGGGCCCCGGCTACTGTAAGATGCTTATATTTGGGTGGTGTCAGTTGAGTGAAATAGAAAATATTTGATGTTCCAGTGCACGCCTGGCTACGTGGCTACCGATATGACCAGCTACCAAGGAAACCTGACTATTGACCAAGGTAGCCTCCCATTTTCTCTAAAGACAGTACTCATGCTCTCTATATATCTATCTGTCTGTCTGTCTGTCTGTCTGTCTGTCTGTCTGTCTGCCTGCCTGCCTGCCTGCCTGCCTGTCTGTCTGTCTGTCTGTCTGTCTGTCTGTCTGTCTGTCTATCTATATACTACTAAAACTCAAGTTTGTTATACATGTTTGAATTTTTTTTTTTTTTTTTTTTTTGTCCGTTTGGTTACAGGAGAGAATCTGCACTATGTGTAGAGTTGTAAAAATGGTAATAAGGGAGAGAACAATTTTTGTTTTCAGACAGACTGTTAATCACAAATGTATTTAAAGACGTTAATTAATGTATTGATTTATTCATTGGTAGATTAACCACATTAATTATAAAAGTTTAAAACAATGGCTTTACTTTGAGGGAATAGTGACGTCACATGATTTATTTACTTATTACATCAACAATGGCGGCTTCCATCGAAGATTTTGTTGCCTCTATTCAGATGTATAAACCATTATTCAGCTAAATTTCTGTCGGCTATAGCTTTAATGATACGTCAGTTTGCTATTTTTATTACGTTCCAACACTTATATCAATTTTTAACTGTCCTTTTCATTTTAGTATACAATAAATTTCTCTAGACATGTAGATTCTAGATCTAGAATCTAAATATCAGCTGTCGAAGAAAGTTATTTATAGAACTAGATCTAGAATCTAGGTAACGTTTCCCTTTCAAACCTGACGGTCTATGGGGCAAGTGAAGTAGAGTTCACTTGTTTCTGTGACCTCGGCATATGAAGAGATAGTGTGGTCAGCACTATGCCCAGCCGCCTTTACTTTCCCTAACGTGAGTTAGGTACCCAGCAGAGTTGGGTGGACTCAGGGACGGTCTACTGACTTGAACCCGGATTCGAACTCGAGACTTACAGGTTAGCAGTCCAGCTCTCTCCCTTTAGAATCTAGGTCAAATTTTGTTGGTTTGACCCGAGAATCTAGGTCAAACCAACAAAATTTGTTAAAAATACAATCCATTTAAAATCAGAATACATTTTTGAGTTTCTTTATTAAACTATTTTAATCCTTAAATATTTGATATAAATCGTTGCTTTTTAGCTTCAAGAATGAAAGTGATTTATCTATCTAGGGTCTAGATCTAGATCTAGCAAGAGTTACGGCAAAAACAAGACTTAATCAAACCAGTCGTAGAATCTAGATAATACATATCTAGATCTAGATAATAATGAGTTTCTATACTAAACTATTTGCGACCTTCATTAATTTCTATAAATCTTTGTTTGTTTTGCTATGCAATTGGCTAATTTAAGATAAAATTTAATTTGAAAGTTACTAATCTAGATCTATAGGGCCTATGTGCGTAAATCGTTTCATAAGGAGACTCAAAGAATATAGCACAAGAAAACGTCAATGACGTCACGTGTCTAGATAGCTAAGTTGTTAGTGTAATAGGTTTCCATGCGGGACGCGTGGGTTCTAGACACATCATGTCATTGAAAAAAAAATTATGTCTTTTTGAATGTGGGGTCTGGTTATTTTGTGATGATAAGTGACAGACCTGATGTCAATTATGGATGACCCCCGAAACCCACAGTTATCTAACTAGATAACTGGTAAACTAGTATTCTACTAAAACTCAAGTTTGTTTAATTGTTTGAATATTTATTTTTTTTGTCTGTTTGTTCGTTTGGTTACAAGAGAGAATCTGCACTATGTGTAGAGCTGTAAAATAGTATGTAGGTAGAAAACAATTTTCTTTTTCAGACAGACTGTTAATCACAAATTAATTTAAAGACGTTAATTAATTTGTTGATTTATTCATTGATAGATTAACCACATTAGTTATAAAAGTTCAGAACAATTACTTTACTTAGAGTGAATAGTGACGTCACGTGATTTATTTACACCGAAATCGGTGTTTTTAAAAGATAAGTGACAGACGTGATTACATTTATGGATTACCCCCGAAACCCACAGTTATCTATCTAGATAACGTGTAGTCTAGTCTAAGACTAAAACTCTGATTAGCTGATTTAACTGAATATTGACCAAAGTAGTCTATCCGTTCAGGTAAGTGTAGCTGAAGGTGTACCTTTGTTTCCACACAGGTGCTGAAACACCTGTCTATTGTGCGCTGCTGCCTCCAAACATTGACAGCCCCAGGGGATTTTTTATTAGCGAAAAACAAGTTATGGAATGGAAGGCTTGAAAATCACATGAATCTGCCTTTTAATTAACATTGTTTATTTGTAAAGGATTTTTAGCGCAATTTCCATTCTGGAGAATTGCTTTTATTAACTCGTCTTTTCTGGGAATGGATGGATGTGTGTTCGCAGCTTTAAGTCGTATCTCCTCCCCAACGAAGCAATATCGAGGACTAGTTCCAAAAGCAAATTTGTTAAGCAAGTTTCGAGGATGATAGTGGGCCCAAAAAAATTCCGGAATTCCTTCCTGGATTTCACAGAAAAGCCAAAAAAAACTCGAAAAATGCAGTTTTTGGCCCATATCTCGGCAACCAGACCACTTAGCGACTTGAAACATTTACCAATCGATTCCTGCCATAATTTAGAACAATATTGCCGAAGAAAGTTTTCAAAAATATCCTTTCGTTCGGTCACAAATTTTAAAATTACATAAACACCTACAAACCGATCGTTCTCCTAGCTTGAACGCACCCCAGCATTATACGTCAGAGCTATTTTTAGATAACTTAAGGAAGTTGCGCTAAAATTGTCACTAGACTTTTTAATTAACTTGTTTTTTCAGGAAAGGGTTAATAAAAATATTTAAATTACTTTTGGTTTGAAATGTTCTTTTACAATTTCATTTATTTATTTGATTGGTATCATTTCAATTGTACGTATTTTAAGTGGGCGTAGCACAAAATGCCGACACCCAAAGGCCTACAGGGACACAAGGCCGACACCCAAAAGGCAAGCTGGACATAAAAGCCGAAAGAACAAAACACCGATATAGACTCGGCGTGGTCGAGTCGGTAAAGCTCATGGTCGCTAAACCGAAAAGTCTCGATTTCGAACCCTCGGGCAGATGCGGCTCGTTAGCTGGGGACAGCCACTCTTCTACGAGAGACAACTCCAAAATCAAACAACTGCTGCCTTGTAGTTTGTTCTTGGTTCGACAAAGGCTATGGAAACCAAAATTGGAAGATTGTGTACCAAATGTTGTTTCCTTGAGAATACAATTTACACTTCCGGTGTCCGTGGCTAGTTGAAAGGGAAATTTTCAAAAATTGAAATTAATTACAGGGGCGGAACTACTATACCGCCATACACCACAATGCGGCGGCGGACAAACTTTTCGATTTGCGCCCCCCCCCCCCCCCCCTCAAGATTTCGATTTGCACCCCCCTCGACCTTTCAATTTATTTTTCCAACCCAATTTGGCACCCCCTTAGGTCGGCGCCCGGGGACATTTGTCCCACCCCCCCCCCCCTCGCTACGCTACTGGGTCATCCTGTTCATATCCAAAATGACTATGATAAAAGTTAAAAGGGAAATGCAGGTTTTCTCAGTTGAAAAAAGAAAAGACATCTTGTAGTTACCCCCTGTGATGGCCACTACTGTCCCAACTCCAGTTTTGTGACACTCCTCCCCATGAGTATAGTATTTAGATAGACCTGTGTGATATACAGCTGGTTTCTGTTATCAATAGGGTAAAACTGTAACATAGATTTGTATTTTATCTGTAATTTTTATTTTCATTTTAATGAAAAAAACATTAAATTCCTTTTTCAAACCTGACGATCCTTGGCAAGTGAAGTAAAGTTCACCTGTTTCAGTGACCTTGGCATTGAGAAATTATAACAGGTTTACAAATTAAGTATGAATAAGTACAAAAATTATGGGATTCAAGAAAATAAAACATTTGATCACAATGAGTCTGATAATTTTGTTTTTCTATTGCTGTTTTGTTCATAAAAAATAATGTGGACATAAACTGTCGTAAAGCCACCGAACACATTATTGCACATACATTATGTTATAATGTAGAGTGTGACGTCAATGGTTAAAATAACAGTATGAACTTTTAACCTTATCAATGCTTTACTATAACCCAATGATTATGTACATTATATTGTAATGTGAATTGTAACATTAATGTTTAAAATAACAGTATGAACTTTTAACCCTATCAATGCTTTACTATAACGGCCACTATAACCCTATGATTATGTACATTAACTAGAACTTAAACTCCTAGCACTACCAAAAAAAAAAAGTGAAAAAAAATTGTTTTTCTGTCAACAAAAGTTGAATAATTAAATCAGTTTAAAACTGAGTTAAAATATTGAGTATCATGTAGTATCATGCCATTTCATATAGTATCATGCCATATGATGTAGTATCATGCCATATCATATAGTATCATGCCATATCATGTAGTATCATGCCATATCAATCATGTAGTATCATGCCATATCATGTAGTATCATGCCATATCAATCATGTAGTATCATGCCATATCAATCATGTAGTATCATGCCATATCATGTAGTATCATGCCATATCAATCATGTAGTATCATGCCATATCATGTAGTATCATGCCATATCATGCCATATCATGTAGTATCATGCCATATCATGTAGTATCATGCCATATCATGCCATATCATGTAGTATCATGCCATATCATGTAGTATCATGCCATATCATGTAGTATCATGCCATATCATGTAGTATTATGCAGGATCTGGATAAGCTCACTCTTCTGGTTCAGTCAAAAGGGAAGATACAGCAAAAAACAAAAACAACAGTCCTCCAAGTACAGTCACTGCAGATAAACATTGTGAACATCAAACAATAACCTAAATTATATTCATCATTTTATAAACATACTATTTAATTTTAGGAAAGTATTCATATGAAAGAAGTACTTGAATACTATTTTCCAAATATACAGATAACAACTGAATGTACCTGTTCTAACAGAAATCCTTTTTGCTATGAGACCACCACCTAAAACAGCCAGCCCTGTACACAGAGCATTGCCTATAAATGTACCCAGCAGCACACCACATAGGTTCTGCGGAGGAATATTTTTAATTTTTAACTTTCAAGTTTTAATTTTTGACCAACCTATAAATTATCAAACTACAATTTGAATAAAGGTTTAGTTCTTAAATAACAAAATTTTTAAAATTAAAAACTTTTTAAAAAAATGTGTACCTCTTTAACAGCCAAAATTATAGTTGTTATTTGTGATCGATCACCCCATTCAGCCATAAATGTCAATGTGAATGATTGAAGAAACACAGGTGATACAATCCCCTTCAAAAACATTACTGTGTCATTTTGTTTTTTCTAAATAAAAAAAGTTAATCATTATAAAAAAACAGGTAAAATACCTAAGGCCAATGTTCCTACTTAATTATGCCATGGCACAACTGCTTGGCTGTAAAGTGCAGAAATTTATAAAATACAGATAACCTTAAACAAGTAATAGAGTACTGTGAATACAAAATCAACATTGCACTGATACTTTTGCTTCTTCAAGGGAATTTCGCTTCATGTAAAATTTTGCCTAATGCCATGTAAGATAACTATTGAAAGTAAAATTTTGCCCAATGCCACATAAGATAACTATTGAAAGTAAAATTTACGGAACCTTCCTTTCATCTTCTTTAAGAACATCTTGCGCCTCTTGGTACTCCTCAGCTGCCTTGTTGGTTGACATGTGCAGGGCTGGAAGTTAAATGTTTAGAGCTGGTTACTTAAGTCATGTGCAGGGCTGGGAGTTAAATGTTTGGAGCTGGTTACTTAAGTCATGTGCAGGGCTGGGAGTTAAATGTTTGGAGCTGGTTACTTAAGACATGTGCAGGGCTGGAAGTTAAATGTTTAGAGCTGGTTACTTAAGTCATGTGCAGGGCTGGGAGTTAAATGTTTGGAGCTGGTTACTTAAGTCATGTGCAGGGCTGGGAGTTAAATGTTTGGAGCTGGTTACTTAAGACATGTGCAGGGCTGGAAGTTAAATGTTTGGAGCTGGTTACTTAAGACATGTGCAGGGCTGGAAGTGAAATGTTTAGAGCTGGTTACTTAAGACATGTGCAGGGCTGGAAGTTAAATGTTTGGAGCTGGTTACTTAAGATATATGCAGGGCTGGAAGTTAAATGTTTGGAGCTGGTTACTTAAGTCATGTGCAGGGCTGGAAGTTAAATGTTTGGAGCTGGTTACTTAAGTCATGTGCAGGGCTGGAAGTTAAATGTTTGGAGCTGGTTACTTAAGACATGTGCAGGGCTGGAAGTGAAATGTTTAGAGCTGGTTACTTAAGACATGTGCAGGGCTGGAAGTTAAATGTTTGGAGCTGGTTACTTAAGACATGTGCAGGGCTGGAAGTTAAATGTTTGGAGCTGGTTACTTAAGACATGTGCAGAGCTGGAAGTTAAATGTTTGGAGCTGGTTACTTAAGACATGTGCAGAGCTGGAAGTTAAATGTTTGGAGCTGGTTACTTAAGACATGTTTACAACTAGCATTTAATGCACCTGCTTTCAAACAGGTTTAGACATTTTTTAAACTTTTGAATTTAGCTATTTAAAAAAGATTTTAAAAAAGATAAAAATATTTTTAAAATAAAAAAAATACTTTAATTGATAATTAATGCATTACATTATGAAAAAAATTAATTCTAACTAATCGTACTAGTTTATCAAACACTTTATACATTTGTCATACATTGACAGTATAGAACTAGCTCTACAGTTTCTTATTCATTCATGTGTATTAAAGGGTCATCCATAAATGACATCACACTTCTATGGGGAGGGGGATTCAAATCTTTGAGATGATGTGTGATGAGAGCGGTAGGGGTCAAAAAGTGATGTCATATTTACATTTGGTGGTGGTAGGCTAAAAAATTACATCATTTTAGGGGAGGGGGTCTGGCTTTTTGTGATGACTGCAAGGGGGAAGATCATAGCTAGTTGGTATAAGTTTAACAAGTTACAGGCTAGTAGTACAAATCTACTTATGTACTTTTTTTTTACTTTACCTTCTTTTAACATCTTTGTTCCAAACAAACCAAAAAGTGCTGATGATATAAAATGGGTTACAGCCCCTGGAATCATTGTGGCAGCATATCCAATAGCAGCTAACAAAAATATTTTATTGTTATTGAATTATCTAACTTTATTCTTCTAGTTCTGTTATAAGGAATCTTTATTAAACTTTTTAAAACAATTAATAAATAAGTAGCCCTATAAAAAAAACTATTAATTTATAAAAATAACTTTACAACTTAAAACTGGTACTAAAATTATTTTCTAAAAATTTAATAAATATAATTTAAAAGATCAGGCTTTTAAAATTATGATTTAAAAAATATATTTATATAGGTATAATAAATCATAGTTGATCATTATTTTAATCACAATATATTTTCAATTATTTGGAAAGCTACAGGCCTCTAAATAATTTGAAAATATGTCTAAAAAATAAACTCACATACATTTTCAGTTTAAAATCAATAATGTAACTTAATATAACTTACTTGAAAAGGTCGTCATGAAAATCTGGGCGGCAAGGTTCCCCATTAGAACTGCTAGCCTGGAATGTTTCATTGCCATAATGGCTGCCAGAAAAAATGTGTTGTCTCCCAGTTCTGACACTATAATCACAGACATTGATCTCATAAAGCCATTTATGAAGGTTGATTCTGTATCCATGTTTGCTCTATGCTGCAAAATTTCTTATCCCTGAAATTTAGATCAGAGTCTACAATGATGTGAGTGTATCAGACCAAACTACTAGTGCAGCAAGGTAGGAAAGTTTTAATTTTTTTTTTATTCTGACCATGTAAAAAAATGTGCAATAAAACTATAAAAGAAAATGTTGCCAAGAGCTGTAATAAAATATTCCTGACCTTGTCAAAGAAAACATACATAAGTAGCATAAGAATAGCAACACATCAATAAACTTTGAATAGTAAATACACCAATAAAAAAATAAACAAACTATTTATAAATGTAGAGTATTGATAACAGAAAAATATTTTATTTGTTAAAATGTCACTAACTTGAATTTGAATAAAAATAGTTCTCTCCTTTAAATAACAAAAACATGAAACTAATACAGGGAGATAATCTCTTTGATAAGATAAAGTAAAATATCAACAACAAATCAGGCCTACCAGCCAGTGAAAACTTACAGGCCTAAAGAATTATAAATAATGATTCTGTCATTTCAATCTGAAATTAAAAAAAAAAAAAACTTGATTCTGTATAAGGCAAAAATACTTCTGAATAACAGGTGCTAAATAGATTTGCAAGATTAAATAAAACTAAACTGTTTGACTAGTCACATTTTTTAAAGCTTACAGCAGTTTCAAATTTTGTGAATGGATATTCACCATTATCAGCTGACCCATCTGTAGGGTAGGGATGAACTTTCTACTGGGTAAAGATAACAATCTTTTATGGACAATAACCTTGTCCACTACTAGGTTATTTACCCTAAGACATTATCTGTATTCTGAGAGCTGAATGCTGATCACTAAATTATTATGTATATTATAATTGAATCTTTTCATTTTTAACATTGTAGACTCTAATTTGAGTTAGTAGTATTGGTTCTCTGTTTTATTAAATTTTCACTAATAAAATCAGCACTTTTTTAAACAATAAAAAATTGCTTGCTTTAAATCCACATAATATAGGCCATAGGCCAACACTAACTATTAACCAGTGGCGTAGGCAGGGGGGGTTAGGGTATACCCCTCGGTATATAGAAAAAGTATGAGGGGGGGGGTGCAAATCAAAAGTTTGAGGGAGGGTGCAAATCGAAAGTTTGAGGGGGGGGGTGCAAATCGAAAGTTTGTCCCCGGGTAAAAATTGGAACCCCCCCTTGAGACGATCCTGGCTACGCCACTGCTATTAACTAACTAATAGTATAGATGTAGGACGGTTTATATATAACTATTATATAAAAAGATATATATATATAATAGATATATTATATTGTTTATTATACATAGTATAGATATCAATCACTGATGTGCTCAGATATAATCACAGTGTAGTCTCAGTGTAGAGTGTAGTGTGTAACTGGCAGTAACTGCCAATGAGTGTGTCAAACTCTGAAGCTGTTCTGGTTAAAAAAACAGTTATATGACTAACAAATAATTATTATTACTTTATTAGATTAACAGTTCTAGAATAATAGTAATAGTAGATCTACAATCTACATTCTTGTGACGTAAGTTGACGTAAAAATTAACAATACTAATAGTAGGCCCTATATTAAATTATTATTGATATAAAATGATAATGCGATATAATGCCTTTGCCTTTGTAGAATAAATATCTAGATCTAGATCTAGATCTAGATCTAGGATCTAATCAATATTTTTTTTTTGCATAGAAGAGGGGGCTAACGCTGAACTGATTTAAAAGCAAATGAGTCTAGATTTCTAGAATCAAAATTTAACTCGGAAAAAAAATACTTAAAACTTGGTTGTATATCCGGGTATCCGTAGCAACCAATGACATCGGATCGCCTTTTTAAAGTCATCTTATGTACACAATTATTATAAAATAATTATACGGCATAAGGGCTTATCGGATTTTGTCACACTTAGGATCGACATCCCCGTTGCCGTTATCAACTCATTTGAAGAATGTTACTAGACCTCTATTAGATCTAGATGAGGATATGAAAATTTACATTTTAATATGTAAAAAAGCCCCCCCCCCCCAACCCAAGGACAGATGGTCAGCTCGGAAGCCGCAGAAATCTAGATCTAGATCTAGATCTAGATCTAGATCTCAATTTTTAAGGAAATACGACACCCTCTGTTTAGCCTTTTTTATATAGATCCTAGATCTAGATCTATATAATCTATAATATTAATAGACCTAATGTAATATAATAAACGCTACAAAAAAGGCTAAGTTCGACAACAAAGAGGCCTAAGTTCGACAACAATCTTATAGTGTCACACACAGTCTACAACTACAATTCTACAGCAATTACTTTTATTTAAAGAATATTTTTTTCTTGCCTTATAAAAACAATTTGAATTAAAATTATAAAATGTCCATACGAGTTGCATTGGTAAAATTATAAAATATTATAGGCCTATTTAAAAAATAAATATAAATTTAGGCTAATTGATAGGCCTAGTTGATAATTGTTATTTTATTAGACATCTTCGTTTAGTCTAGGCCTATTATGTACTTAGTACTATTATTATTAAGTTACCAAGGATTGATGACTTAAAAAAAACAAAAAAAAAACAAAGATTGATGACTGACATTCTGACAAGTTGTCATCCTTAATAATAAATTGTAATGTTTTATATAGCAATGCAGGCCTAATTATTATTAATTAGGCCTAATTAGTCATATAAAAAAACATAATTTGTAGGCCTATTTCTCTTCTAATTAAATTAGATCAAGATTAGTAATAAATTAGTTGAATAGGCCTATATGTATGGAGTTAGTAATATTAGTGGACCTACAAGTACAGGTAATTTAGGCTTTTTAATTATATTTAACTTTAACATCACATTCTCCCCCCAAAATAGGTTACAGGTGCAAATAAAGGTATTGGCTATGCTATTGTCAGAGCTCTATGCAAACAATTCAATGGACAAGTTTTGCTTACAGGTATAAATAGAAACTATTTTTAAAATCTTAATACAGCTCCCAACCTTTCATTAGGCTTTATTTTAGAGTAGACAGGGTACCAGTTCCCCCCCCCCCCCCCCCAGAGTTTCTTCCAGGCAAAGCCCCCCCCCCCCCCGAACGAAATGAAATTTATATAATTTATATAGAAAATATATACTTTTAACAGTGTCCGCCCCCCCCCCCCCCGAAGAAAGTTTACCGCCGCCCCCCCCCCAAAGATTTCAAGTGCCCCCCCCCCCCTGGAGAAAAAAGTCTGGAAGAAACACTGCCCCCCCCCCCCCCCCTCACCCCATCCCCTGAAAGAATCAATGTCTTCAGTAGAAGAGTTCTAAATCACTACATTTTAGAAAAGCCAAACAAATTTATTGGTGAATAACTTTACAGCCATAAAGCTTTTTAAATTAGCAAGTAAATATTTCAATAATTTCTACAGCTCGAAACCCTGAACTTGGTACCAAGGCAGTTTCAGATTTGGAGAAAGAAAATCTGCATCCTAAATTCCACCAGCTGGACATAGATGACCATAACAGTGTTGTAAGAATTCGTGACTTTCTGAAAGAAAACTATGGAGGTCTGGACATTCTTGTAAATTGTAAACAATGCTGGCATTGCATACAAGGTAATTTTATTTTTGTTTATTGCAAATAAGGGAATTTCAGTTACTGTTTATTGCATATAAAATGATTTAATTTACTACAAATTTATTCTTTTTTTTAAATTCTGAAATAAAAGAGACTGGTGCCATGAAATTGGTAGGCTTATAGATTGTAATACTTTGCACAATGTCAGAATCAGATGTTGAGATGTAACAGTTGCATTTGTAAAGTGTAGTTTATTATAATTATAAATATTTTAGCCAAATTAGAAAATAAATTTAGAAAATCATTATGCCTACTGTAACTACTAAATTTTAAAATTAATAGGTGAGCGATATTTTTGTTTAATTTTAGGATGTTTTTTAAAATCAATTACAAGTTTATTTTTCAAAGCAAGGATCATCCGCACCATTTGCTGAACAAGCTGATGTTACAACAAAGACAAACTTCTTCAACACATTAAATGTTTGTCAGGTTCTCTTCCCATTACTTCGGCCACATGCTCGGTCAGTTATTTAAATCTGTTTTCTTTCTGAATATTTGAAGTTGTTTTTTATTTCATGTTGTGATTTTAAAGTTTACTGTCTTTAGACAGCATGATAGTTTTGAAAAACAATTTGTAGGGTTGTGAATGTGTCCAGCTTGGTGTCTCAGTGGGCTTTGTCTGAGTGTTCAGATGAGTACGAAGCAAGATTTACTGACCCTAACATCACTATGGATGAGCTGACCTCCATCATCAAAAAATTTGTTGAGTAAGGAAAAATTTCTATTCTTACAAAAATAATTGTAATCAATTTTTCTTTACACTGAAAAAAGTTAAAATACTAAACAAAATAAGCACCCACCCTTACATATTAAAAACTCCACACCACTAATGCAATGGGAGAAATGTAAAAAAACAAAAAACAAGCTGTACCATAAGGCATTTTACATAGGTGGCACCACTGGTTATATCTCCATAAACTTTTTTTCTGACTACTAGTGCAGCTCAAGACAATACACATCTACAGGCAGGTTTCCATTTTACTGCTTATGGCATGTCAAAGGTTGGTGTCACTGTCATGTCAATGATTCAACAGAGAGAACTGGACAAGAAAGGATGTCAAGATATTGTTGTCAATGCCGTAGGTGTCTATTTTAAAAACAAAAAATAAAAATATATATTAAAATTCAAGTGTTTTTTTTTTTAAATTATATATTGCAGTCTATACTACCCTATTAAAGTTATGTTTAGATTGGATTGAGATCAAAATAATTTATAACCTTTCTAATTACGATTTAGTTGGAGTAGATCTTGAATCAACATGCCATGTTATTAATGTAAAACAGCAATATCACATGTGCTGTAAATAGAATTGTACAGTCATTATGAGTACAGAGCTGCTTACATCTTTATGTTCCACATTTTTTATCTACAGTGTTAATTAATTCTTTCTTTGACTTGTTATTTTTACAACTAAAACACTTTTTGTAGAGATTTATTGTGAATGAGACTATTTAAACACTTTTTGTTTCAGTGCTGTCCTGGTTATGTTGCTACTGACATGTCAGGTCACACCGGAGCCCTCACAATTGATCAAGGTAAAGACTAGAATAGTGACTGTTTTAGAAAGGATAGTATAATTTTTTTTTAAATTATTTACTAACTGGAATATACATCTTTTATTTAAGGTATACACATTTTTAAATATCTTACTATAATTATAGTTCTTAAATTAAAAAAAAATTCTGTCAGCAGCATTTAATTTGACTTCATGTTAAAATGATTACAAGTGTTGTATAAAAATACCTGAGTTTGTTATTGTCTTTTACCAGGTGCTGAAACACCTGTCTACTGCGCTCTTCTACCTCCAAACATTGACAGCCCTAGAGGATGTTTTATTCGAGAGAAGAAAGTGTCTGAATGGAAAGCATGAAATCAGCTTTATAACCTAGAGAATTATTGTTAATTATTTAGAAACTGCCAAAATAACAAACAATATGCAGTCAATAGCTGATGTAAAATTTGTAATAATTACAAAACCAGTATTGAGAAATATTTATCACATAGGTTTTGTTCTTATGCTCTTAATGGAATACAGCCAATACATTTTGTAATTATAATAGAAATTATTGCTAGTAATTACTAGTATAACCTCTAGAAGAAACAGTGTTGTTGAATGGTTGAAGAAATGCTCATGGATCACCAATGCAGTACTCTAATGACCATTACACTTACAGTGGTGGTAAAAAAAATTATGATTTTATGAAAGAAAAGCATAAAGCCTTGGACATTCTTATAAACAATACAGGAATTAAATACAAGGTGATTTGATGTTTTTGTTTTTTGCATACTAGGCGATTTTCATTTGATTTTTTAAAATAGCATACACATTACAAGGATAGATTGTTTAGATTGTATGTTATGTATAATCTGTTGTAGTTGTTATATTTCTTTTACTTCCACTTTATACTTTGCCTACAATTATATGCCATAAAATGTTTGGTGCTAGTCTAATATTTTTAAATGTTTACAGTTAAGTGAACTATTATTATCTTTTGAATAATAAATTACTTGTTTTCCATCGATAAGATTTGTTTAATTGATTGTCTATAGAAAAGTTACATTCTCTTTTTTTAAAGACAATTTGACTTGGGAAATATGTAATTAGCCACAAAAAAGGCATATTATATATAAGATTTTATATTTAGACATATATATATATATATATATATATATATATATATATATATATATATATATATATATATATATATATATATAGGGCCTATATATATAAATATATAGGTAGATAGATATTATATCTATATATATTATAGATCTATATATAGATCTATTATATCTATATATGTAGATCTATGTCTATATATAGTATTAGTATTAAGGGTCCCTAAAAGTTTTCAGCAAGCTCAAGCTTTTGTCCATAACATTCAAATGTCTTCTTCTAGGTATTGTTACAGTAGCTTCTTGATTATTGTTAGCTTCATTTCTTTGCTGAGCGTAAGATCTCAGTTTCTTTCAGGCATCTCTTTGATGGGGGGGGGGGGGGGTGAGGCAAAACACGCCTGAATTCCAATGCTCCTGTCCTATATTTACAAACAGAATTTATTTACAAAAAATATACTTTAACCATTGTCCACCCCCTCTTCCCTGGAGATTTAAGTCCCCCCTAAAGTTTTAAGTGTCCGCCCCCTCTACTAAGAACAATTTTAAGGATCCCTAAAACTTGTCAGTAAGCTCAAGCTTTTGTCCATATCATTCACATGTCTTCTTCTATGTTACAAAGGGTTCCTGATTATCATTAGCCTCATTACTTTTTTCTTAGCTGATCGTGAGAATAAATCCCCTCCCATTATGGAAATATTGGGGAGGGTGGTACAAACGCCGACAACAAGACATTTTAGTTAGATCTAGTTCAAATTCAAATGCCGACCACAAGATAAGTGCATGCATTTCAGCTTCAATATTTTAGTTATTCATCGCTGAGCCTACTTGTTCTTGCTTGTTACATTTAATTTTTGTCCCCAAAAAAGGCACCATGAGCTAGAATTGCCTGCATGGGAAGCAGCCGCTCACCCGGGATACACCACTGATTACAGATATTTATAAGAAAGTTTTTTGCACTAAGCCGCACCGAGACTTCCAGGTGGAGGATCGCTGCGCTTGATTTCCCTAAACTCTGAACTAACAAAAGTTGGCCAGCGGCACTTTCCGTTTCGCCTTTTTATTATAATAAACTGAAAAAGGCCGGGATCAAGTCTAGTTCTGCTAAAAAGTCAGGCCGAAGTTCTGCGACACGACAAGCCTGGTGTTCTTTTAAGTTATTTTAAAAATAAATAGATCTAGATCTTCTAATCAAAATGTCCAAGCGTGTGGCACTGGTAAAATTATTTTTTTAAATTAATAATTAATAATTATTCATCTCTAAAAACTACTAAAAAGATTTCATTTTCTGCCTAACCTGCTTGCAGCATACTAAAATATTAAATAAATACTAATACTACTAGATCTAGATCTAGATCTATACTAACTATACTATACTAAATAGAATCTAGTAACTAAATACTAAATCTAAATACTAAATATATACTAGATCTAAGCTAGATCTAGATATAGTATAACAGAGTATAACTGTACTATTAGAATCTAGATCTTGAATTCTAGTACAGTACTAGATCTAGTAGTGAAGAGTTACCAGTAGGGCAGTAGAGTAACTGACTTACCAGTTACTGTACTCAACTGTACTGTATGTACTAGATCTATGATCTAGTATCTAGATCTAGTTAGTTAGTAGTTAGTTACTAGACTAGATCTAGATCTAGACCCAGTAGTTAGTTAGGTAGGCCTATTAACTATTAAATTATTAAAGTATTATCATTAACTATTGTGACTATTATTATCAGTGTTTCTTCCAGACTTTTTTCTCCGGGGGGGGGGGGGGGGGAGACACTGTTAAAAGTATATATTTTCTATATAAATTATATAAATTTCGTTTGGGGGGGGGGCGGTAAAAAATTTTCAGGGGGGGTTTGGCCCCTCAAAGAGATGCCTGGAAGAAACTCTGATTATTATGCTATTCATTTCAACCTATGCACCATGTCTTAATTACTTAGTCTTAGTTGACTCTAATAATAGTTAAAAGTACATAGACTAGAATTCTTACTAATTCTTACATAACATAAAACATCAAGTTGTTATTTTATTCATAGTAATTACTACTGACAGTCATAAACATGCAGTGGCGTAGGCAGGGGGGGTTAGGGGGGGGTCATAACCCCCCCATAGACCCCTCGGTATATATAAAAAGTATGAGGGGGGGGTGCAAATCAAAAGTTTGAGTGGGGGGTGCAAATCGAAAGTTTGAGGGGGGGGGGTGCAAATCGAAAGTTTGAGGGGGGGGGTGCAAATCAAAAGTTTGTTCCCCGGGTAAAAATTGGAACCCCCCCCCCCCCTTGAGACGATCCTGGCTATGCCACTGTAAACATGTATAGTATACTATAAGGGTGATTAATAGAATAGGTCTAGCCTAATTGAAATAATAATAATAAAAATAATAGAATAGAAACTTTGCTGTATGAAGTATATTTCTTATTTAATGATGTATGAAATAAAAGAAAAATTAGAACTAGACATCTAGTAGTTTGAGTTAGTCTTATATTATAGAGCCAAATAATACAATAATAGTGCATAGGAAGGCAGTTTTAATCTATAGTAATACTATTATTAGTCATTTGTTTAATTTTGATTTATCACTTGTCTTGAAATAGGTTACAGGCTCTAATAAAGGTATTGGGTTTGCTATTGTCAGAGCTTTATGCAAAAACTTTGATGGAGATGTTTTGCTTACAGGTATGAAAAAAAGCCTAGAATCTAGTCAGATCTAGATCCCATTCTTTAAAAAAAAATTCTTATTTATCCATATTGCCAGATAAGTCAACAAATTTTACTTTATTGTCTTAAGCAAAGTAGGCTTAAAATCCCTAATTATTTATTCCATTTTTATTATCTACTGGTTCATGAAGAAGAATACATATTTTTTTGTTATCCAGAAAACATTTTTAAAAACTTTACTTTTAGCTACTAAAACTTATTTTTAGACTTAAATATTCAGACTTTCAAAATTAAAATAAAGCCAAACAATTTAAAATTGCTATTGTTTTATAAAACACTTTTTTAAAATAAAAAACTTAAATTTTTTTTAAAAGTAAAAATAAATAAAACAAATGTCCTAAAAGGCCACTGTTAAAGACATGAGGCCTTAACCTAATACTTTTTAAAAATTATCACGGTAAAAAAAATAGACCCGAATCTTAAATTAAGCTATTTAAAACTAAAAAACTCTTGTATTAGTAGCCCATACATTTATATAACCCATTACAGAGTTCTTGCATGTAAATATTTTTATCATTACTACAGCTCGAAACCCTGAACTTGGTACCAAGGCAGTTTCAGATTTGGAGAAAGAAAATCTGCATCCTAAATTCCACCAGCTGGACATAGATGACCATAACAGTGTTGTAAGAATTCGTGACTTTCTGAAAGAAAACTATGGAGGTCTGGACATTCTTGTAAACAATGCTGGCATTGCTTACAAGGTAATTTTCCTTTTTGCTTATTGCGTTTAAAAATTTTGAATAATAAAGACTTAAGTTAAATAAATTAAGTTATCCTTCACATAACTATTTTCTGAATTAGGTCTTTGAGTATCAAATATTTCAGTTGTAAAGTTGCAACAGTTATAGAAACTCTAAATATTTTAGTATCTTTGGAAGAATTTTAAAAAATTACATTTGTCTTAAAATTCTTTAAAAAAAATAGTTTTGGTGTGTTTTCAGGATACACCTATACTGTATTTTAATTGCATATATTTATTTTTTACAGCAAGCATCAACCGCTCCATTCTCTGAACAAGCTGATGTCACAACAAAGACAAACTTCTTCAACACATTAAATGCTTGTCAGGTTCTCTTCCCCTTGCTTCGTCCACATGCTCGGTCAGTTATTTACAATTTGGAATCTGTTTTCCTTCTGAACTTTTTTAACCTTAAAATACATTAGGTCTATATTTTTTTTTTGGAGTCTATTTTAGTTCGATGTTTGCTTCCTTACACTAATCAGACTTGATTTCCATTAGAAACTTTTTAACATCATTTGCTTTAGGGTTGTGAATGTATCCAGTATGGTGTCTCAATGGGCTTTGTCCAAGTGTTCGGATGAGTACAAGGCAAGATTTACTGACCCTAACATCACTATGGATGAGCTGACCTCTATCATCAAAAAGTTTGTTGAGTAAGGAATTTTTTTATTCTGGCCAAAATAATTGTAATTTATTTCTTTCACTGACACAAGTAAAATAAGTTAACTAATGTTTTCCAAACACTGATGGGGATAAAGGAATGTAACAGGAAAGTTATATCCAATGGTGTAACGTGTCTGTTTAAATAGATGGTGGAGCTGATTTTTTTTTCTTCTCCTCATTAGTTTGGCTCAAGACAACAAACACCAGCAGGCAGGTTTTGCTGACACATCTTATGGCATGTCAAAGGTCGGTGTCACTGTCATGTCAATGATTCAACAGAGAGAACTGGACAAGAAAGGAAGTCAAGATATTGTTGTCAATGCGGTAGGTGTCTTTTTTTTTTATTCATATACAAAATCTAGTTAGATATATATTTATATTTTTGTTTTCAGTACTTTTTTGTTATATATTGACATCTATTCAGCCATTTTAAAATTATTCTTTTATTCAATGGGATCACAATGTTTGATCAAATTTTTTTAATTGGTTATTATTAAATTAGATTTTTGTTTATTTGTTTTCAATGTAAAAAAAAATGGAAATATGTGGTCTGTAAAAATAATTGTAATCATCATAAGACAAAGATAAAACACTTATTAAAAACCATCAGAATGAATTACAAATTTTCCATGTATTAATTATTATCTTGAGTAATACTTTCTTTGACTATTTAAACACTTGTTTTTGTTGTAGAGATATGTTGACAATCAGACTATTTAAACACTTTTTGTTTCAGTGCTGCCCTGGTTATGTTGCTACTGACATGTCTAGTCATAAGGGGACCCTCACTATTGATCAAGGTAAAGCCAGTACAATTGTGTTTTACAAAAGGAAATTTTAAATAATTTTTTTTTTAAAACAAATATATTGTCAATATGCAATGGAACATGCATGTTCTTCTATCCAGTATGTATAAACTTTTTAATATCTAATTAAATTAGGTTTTAAAATTTTAAAATACATTTCTGTCGGTGACATTTAACCCCTTTACCGTGGAAATTTTTTTTTTTTTTTTTTTTTTGGAAACCGTGTAATTGTTTTTTTTTTCACTTTCGTTTTCACATCACGTGATGACCTATTTTTATCATCCGCTGTTGAATTGGCTGTTAGATTAGCCTCCCTCTACATTGTTATTGATTTCCAATGCTATTTTCTTATCAAGACGAGTTAACTCGGGACACACGGCACACAGACGACTTTTTTATCTGAAGACTTGTTAACTCGTGATGTACGGTTAAGCACAAGATTTTATATGACGAGTTAACTCGTGACACACAGTAAAGGGGTTAATTTTCCAAACAAAATAGTTCCAACATAATTCACTCTGGCCTGGCTAATAAGTGATGTATGAAAATACCTGAGTTTGTTATTGTCTTTTATCAGGTGCTGAAACACCTGTCTACTGCGCACTCCTACCTCCAAACATTGACAGCCCCAGAGGATGTTTTATTAAAGAGAAGAAAGTGTCTGAATGGAAAGCATGAAAATCAGCTTTATAACCTACAGAATTATTGTTAATTATTTAGAATCTGCTGAAATACCAATGATACAATCTGGAGATGATTTTGTTAACTAATTAAAAATTACTTAAGTAATATTGTGAAATATATATCATTTAAATTTATGCTCATACTGTTAGCAAATAAATATAAATAAATTCATTTTTATAATTTTATTTATTATTATGCCAGCTGTATATCACTAATGATCTAGCTGTAATAATTTGTTTAATTTAACTGCTTATCCAGGTTTCTAAGTAACATGACCCCAATCAGGAGATAATAATTTTCTTGCTTGTTAAAATTTGATTTCTGTTTGAACCTTTGATAGCCATAACACAGTGACAACACTGTTGACTAAATACACCAGTTGAATTGACCAAAGTTTGCTAGTGACTTGGTACAGTTTGTTGGTGACATGCTACACACTCTATGAGCATATTTTAATTCTGCCTTACAAGTTCATGTTGTAAAAGCTTTTTATAATTTATTTGTTCATAAAAGTTTTAATCTTTTCAATTATTCTAATGTTTTCCAAATAAAATCTGTGATTATTAAAATTAAAGTGTTCAATCTTTTCATGATTTTAGAGCATCTGTGACAAGTAAAGTGTCTTAACTTTTTAATGAACCATATGTGTATGTTCACATTAAATATACTACTCCTGAAACTAATGTTCAGAGGTCAAGGTTACTACATTAGTACTACAACCCCAACTACCCAAGAACCAACACCTGACAATGACCCTAGCTATTTTCACCTGTTAAAACAAAACAATTACCTACAGCACATATACACAGGTAATTATTCAGCGTGTACACCATAATGTACCCATTCTAATGTTACTTTTTTGGGTTGTCTACTAACAATGTACAGTTCAAGTCAGGAAGAAGAAAACTATAGCATTAAATCTCTAGAGGTTGAATGATGCGCATTGTTGAATTGTAAGAGGAAACTATACTATGTAATAATGTTTGGTATGAATAATATTAAATATAATGCTTGATATAAAATAAGAGAGGAAGAAAAAGTGTGTATGTATGTAGGCCTACATGTGTATTCACACCTATCGTCATCATTCCTGCAGACCTCTTATGGGTCATCCATAAATGACGTCACACTCGTAGGGGGGGGGGGGGGGGGTCCGTAATTTTGTAACGATGTGAGGGGGAGGGGGTCAGATGTTGCGACGTCACATTTTTGCATTATAAAAAAGCAATGTTAGAAAACGAATTTTAGACGTTATTTCGCTATTTAGATAACTGTTTTAATAAATTTTAATAGTTTAGACAAAATTTTGGAAAAATATCGATGTTTTAAAAAAATTCAACTGCAATTTTGAGGGGGGGTTGTAGGTTGAGGTGTGACGTCATTTTAGGGGGGGGGTGGTCTGACTTTTTGTGACGACGTGTGACGGAGGGGAGGGGGGGAGGTAAAAATCGTCAAAAAAAGCGTGACGTCATTTATGGATGACCCCTTATAGAGCACACGGACACATCACACCTCTCTATAGTCTCTAGAGTGTAGACCTACTCTGGTTTGGGCAATTTCTCTCAGAAAGGTCCATGACGTTCCAGCTGATTATACTTAACTGATAACAAATCTTTCTCAAGTTTGTTTAGCCTCCTCACTTTACTTTCTCCATGAGGATTTCAGTGTAATGCCTATTGTTTGTTGGTTTGCTCAATGTTAGTCTAAACCTACCCCATTTGCCCATAGTTCAGTCGCGAATTCCAGATTTTTTTCCTTCTCGTAATCCAATCCATGACTCAAGGAGATCATCATTTGGATAAATCATTCAGTCTAGTTTTACTTGCGGTTTCACTGAAAGATAGACGGCTCGTTAACCTATTGTAAGTTGTCTGGCTGATGGAGTCCGTGAAATTTTGGGGTGATGCTGATGAATGTGGAACGATTCCATAGTGGTCCATCAAACTCCTTCTGAAAACCACACATGTTCTGCTAACCTCCCACCCTGCTTGTTCCAATCTTAACTTACTAAGTTAAAGATGTGATTTTTTCCGAATTTCGTCGGATTTCCCCGCTAATATACTTAAGTTAAAGTTAATCCTATATATTTTATAGCAAAATATTTTAAAAATGTTTTTTAAAATGTTAACGTTCCTTGAAGGCAATGTTGCCTATATCTCACGAACCCCATTTCTTTACAGTTAATTTTGCATGCGGGTAATTTAAGCATGATTTCCGGAGGGGAGGGGGGTAGACGCTATTCGCCCCCCCCCCCCCCTGGAACGAAATATAATTTATAAAGAAAATATATACATTTACTTATCATCGCAGAGGGTTTGTCTTAGTTTTGTTGTAGCCTAACGGCTCACGAAGGGGCTCACTGATAATGTTGGCATCATCATCATAGGGACGCAACCAGACCAGTGTTTCTTCCAGACTTTTTTCTCCGGGGGGGGGGGGCACTTGAAATTTTCGGGGGGGGCGGTAAACTTTCTTCGGGGGGGGCGAACACTGTTAAAAGTATATATTTTCTATATAAATTATATAAATTTAATTCCGTTCGGGGGGGGGGGGGGGGCGGTAAAAATTTATCGGGGGGGCTTCGCCCCCCCCCCCCCGAAGAGATGCCTGGAAGAAACTCTGAACCAGACCATCAGTTTTGGGCGATTCCACCAAGTTGGGCCCATGCCATTCTGACTGCTTCTGCTTCACTGACAGCAGACCTTTTCCACGTTAGATTTGGCCTATGTAATAGATTGAAATAATTGTGAGGTCAAGGGAACTCACTCTTCTGTATTAGTTATATTTATTATATTGTTATCTTGAGTGATGTCCCTTACATGTTGTTATCTATATATAGTTCTCTCTCGCCACCTGCTTCCTCTCTCTTTGCAACATGGCGTCTGTACATAATAAAGACTGTTATATACAACCACAGGCTTCTGTCGTCAATCTATTATAACTGGCGACGAAGGATAAACATCGACTAGAAAGAGCACCTACTTACGCAAAAAAGAGGTTTGCTAGAGCTTATTAGCTAATTATTTCTAGAATTATGGCGCTGTATGGCCAAATAAAAGAATTTGATGCGAATGATGAAATCATTCAAGATTACCTAGAGAGGTTAAGCTTTTACCTAGAAGCTAACGACGTGACGATAGAAGCCAAAAAGAGAGCTGTTTTGTTAACAGTCATAGGGCCTCAACAATTTAGGCTACTAAAAGACTTATGCACACCAGCTAGTCTAACTACCAAGAGCTTTAACGAGCTGAGCAAATTGCTAACAGACCACCATGCGCCTACCCCATCAAAGTTTCTATGTCGAGCTAGATTTGACAGTAGGACTCGTCAACCAAACGAGTCAATATCAGAATATGTTGCTGCTTTACGTCATTTAAGTAGATTTTGTGAATTTGGAGAAACGCTGTCTGACAGACTGTGTGAAAAGTTTGTGACAGGTGTAAACAGCCCTGATATTCAAAGAAAGTTGCTGCTCGAGTCAGATCTAAAATTGGAAAAAGCAATACAACTTGCAATGTCATTCCAGCAGTCATCAGATGCGGCGAGATCTTTAGCACCTTCAGAGATCCATGCAGTAAACAGCAGGTTAGTCAATAAACATCAACCCCATCAGAGCATTCCAACTTATGCTAAACAGCCTGCTCGTTCAAATCCTAGATCTAAATCTAGTAATAATTATCAAAAATGTCATCGATGCAAAGGTCCCCATGCATCTCATCGGTGCAAGTTCAAGTTAGCAACTTGTTATAAGTGCGGTAAGCAAGGTCACATTGCCAAGGCCTGCTTTGCAAAGTCTTCGTCTGTTGCTAAATCTAGCCAGTCAAGACAGTACCGCAACCAAAAGCAGCACTATGTTAACTCTCACCAAGACTACCTAACCCAACCAATGAACCACTCTACCTGTGAAAATGCTCAAACTGATTTGCAGCCGGATTTCAACCTGTTCTCTGTGAAATCAATAAGTCATGCTCCCATCAATGTACCAGTTTATATCAACGGTAAGAGCATCAGCTTCCAACTTGACACTGGAGCATCTCTAACAGTCATAACAAAGAAAGATTTTGACGCTGCCACAGGAGGATCAGTGTCTCTACAGCCGTGTCACAAGTGTCTAACAACATACACTGGTGACAATGTTCCGGTAATAGGAGAGTGTATGGTTCATGTAAGTTATAATGGTCAAAGTGTTAAACTTCCTCTTCTTGTGGTTGAAGGAAATGGACCGCCATTACTAGGTAGGAACTGGTTAAGTGATCTTAAGTTAAATTGGGAGAGTATTTGTTCATTGAAGAATGTAAAAGAATCTAGTCTTACTTCACTAGATAAAGTTATATCTGAAAATAAATGTGTTTTTGGTAATTCAGGTTTACTAAATGATAGAACAGTGAAGTTAAGCATTAAAGACACAAATCCAAGATACTGCAAAGCTAGAGTTCCACCTTATGCAATGAGGAACAAAATTGAAAATGAGCTAAGTAGATTGGCATCTAATGGCATTATAAAGAAGGTAGACTATTCCGATTGGGCGACGCCCATTGTGCCAGTGTTAAAGAAGGATGGTTCTATAAGAATTTGTGGAGATTATAAAACTACACTGAATAAGCAAATAGAGCTAAATAGGTACACTATACCTAACATTGAGGAAATTTCTTTGAATTTGGCAGGAGACAAATTCACTGAATTAGACTTTAGTCATGCTTACACTCAACTAGAACTGCATCCAGATTCAAAAGTCTATACGACAATAAACACACATAAAGGACTCTACCAATATGAAAGACTATGTTTTGGCATATCATCCAGCCCTGGAATTTTCCAGGCTGTCATGGACAGTATTTTTAAGGATATTCCAAATGTTTGTGTGTACTTTGACAATGTGTACATAACTGGTAAGAATGACACTGAACATCTTAAAACACTTGATAAAGTCTTGAAAATTGTTGGTGAAAAAGGTTTAAAGATAAACAAAGATAAATGTCAATTCATGTTGACAGAAATTAGTTTTCTTGGTTATATATTAAGCAAACAAGGCATCAGACCTCAACCTGAGAAAACAAAAGCCATTAAAGAAGCACCCAAACCTGAAAATACCCAACAACTAAGAGCTTTTTTGGGCTTAATAAATTACTATGGAAAGTTCATAGGAAATCTGGTAAACTATCACCACTGTACAAGCTGCTACAGAAAAATGCAACTTGGCACTGGGGTAAACAACAAGAAGCTGCTTTTAATACAGCAAAAGAGGCTTTGTCTGCTGACACCTTACTAACTCACTATGACCCAGGGAAAAGACTTATATTAACATGTGATGCTTCACCAGATGGTGTAGGAGCAGTCTTGTCCCACATGGATGAGAAGGGTGACAGACCCATTGCTTTTGCCAGTAGATCTTTGAATCAGGCTGAGAAAAATTATTCTCAGTTAGATAGGGAAGGCTTAGGCATCATTTTTGGTGTTAAGAAATTTCATAAGTTTCTGTTTGGTAGGAAGTTCACCATCTTTACAGATCATAAACCATTGCTAGGTTTATTTGGAGAAAACAAAACCCTACCTGAGCATGCCTCACCAAGAATTCAAAGATGGGCTATCACACTAACTGCATACAATTATGAATTGAGATACAAACCTGGATCTGAGAATAGTGCAGATAGTCTTAGTAGATAATCTTTAAAAAACCAAAGCCTGAGCTATGTACCAGAAGATGTATTTGTTCTCTTCACTATCATGGATAACTCCAATATAAATGTGAATGATATTAAAAGAGAAACACAAAAAGATGAGTGCTTAATAAAAGTATATGAGTACTGTAAGAATGGTTGGCCTGAAGAGTCTGTGAATGATGACTTAAGGCCATATTAAATAAGAAATAAAAACCTTTGTGAAAATAATATAAAAGATGGAGAAGATGCAGTCCATTATCAGTCAGAGTTGCCTAAACAAAGTATTTGTAACTTAATAAATGATTATGGTGATATGGCAATTTCAAATGTTTTAAAGAGAATACATTAGTAAGAAGGAATGTGATCATCAAACAACTTTGCTAACATCATTAGCACTTACAGAAACTAAAAGGGTAACATCAAAAGAAGAAAAAGATTTTTGCCATTTAATACACCCACTTCAAATACTGGATCACAGTTGCAAAGTGATATTGTCCAGGATATTACTTTAAACAGTATTTTTGGTTACCAGGAAAGCACTATCAGATTACCTGAGAAAATTGATCAATCAAAGAAATCTATGTCAGTCAAGGATCTGAATAATAGCATAATACTTTCAGATGCCAATTAAAAAATTAAATCATGACAAACATTCATTGAAAGAGAATTTGGTATTAATGATAATGTGTATCTAAGAAATTATGGGAGAAAGGAAAAATGGATACCAGGTCAAATTGTTCAATGTACAGGACCTGTGCCTTATAAAGTTAAAAATAACTTGTGCAGATAATAAGTGTGAATCTGTCAATCCCACCAAGTCTGATCAGTTCACACCAACTCAGTTGTTCCACAACCAAGTTCTGTTGATATGAGTGAACCAAGTTGTCTAGAGTCAGAAAATGTAAATTCTGGAGTTAATGATTTAAATCCTAGACCTCCTGAGATAGAGAATCCAGATGGTCAGAATCTTGAGTCACCAAATCAGAAGCCACTGAGAAGGTCAAGCAGGACAATCAAAGTCCCAAATAAGTTAGACCTATGATTTTAAAGGTCAAAAGGACTTTGACATCATTGTTTTGTATCTTGATTATGTTGTGGCATATTGTGCATTGTTTGTAAGGATGTAATCTACCATAATGTTCATGTTACAATATAATTGGTGATTTTAGGATACTATCAATTGTTCTATTGAGAGATGTGTTATTGTGTTCTAAGGGTAAAGGGATGTAATAGATTGAAATAATTGTGAGGTCAAGGGAACTCACTCTTCTGTATTAGTTATATTTATTATATTGTTATCTTGAGTGATGTCCCTTACATGTTGTTATCTATATATAGTTCTCTCTCGCCACCTGCTTCCTCTCTCTTTGCAACATGGCGTCTGTACATAATAAAGACTGTTATATACAACCACAGGCTTCTGTCGTCAATCTATTATAGCCTACTACTTTCTAGTTGGAGATTCCAATCTAGGGCCTGTCTGACTGGTGATGGTGCTAGTTGGTTTACGCAGGGCGTGTCCAATCCATCCCCAGGTGTGCTTTTGGCCACACACAAAAGAATAGCTACGTCACTGCTTGTGGAACATAGGGCGTCCACCGTAACCTTCTGTTTTGTTGTGTCCCATGCTGTTGATTTTACAGTCTCCCAATACATCCATGCTGTCTTCAGTTCGCCAAGAAGACGCCGCCTCCCAGTCTGTCGGTGGCGCCCTCTCTTTTGATTTCCTTGGGGATTATACTCGAGCGCCTAGCTAGTCACATTTAGGCTTGTTTTAGCGCATTGAAATTTAATGCAAATGTCATCGCTTTGGGTCGTTCCCTTCCCCTCCCCTAGACACATTTTTTTTTAAATCAATAGAAAATTATTGCAAATGTCATAGTGATTCGACAGTCACCCCCCCCCCCCCCCAACACACTTTACCGACTTTTGAACTAATGGAATGAAAAATAATTGCAAATGTCATCGTGATTTGACAGTCGACCGCCCTCCCCCCCCCCCCCCTCGACATTTTGAACTCATTGAAAATAATTGCAAATGTCACCGTGTTTCATCGTAGATGGCGGTACTTCAAATACATTTTATATGCCTATTAAACTAAATCTTACTTTCTTAGATGGAAGTTCTACAAATGTGTGTAGTGAGTGGGGGGGGGGGGGAGGGGTAGGGTAGGGTTATATGAATTGATACGGACTCCTTTGACAGTGCCTGTGAAAACGTCGGGTAAAAAATGTCACAATTTTATGTTTATTTATGATTTTAATTAAGTCTATAGCATAGAGTAGACATAGAAGATCTTTGCTCAATCCGTAAAGAAATTGCATGGCCCGATATATATCCTGTTTTCAAAATAATGTAATTGTAACTATTATAATTATAAGTAAAAATGTGTTTCAGTATCATAATAATACTCAACACATTATAGATTTATATTTGACATTTAAAAAAAAATCCCAACTTAACAATACAACACTCCACTTTTAGACCTAGGCCTACTTTCTTTTTCACATGTTTACATACCAAGTGTAAAACAGGCTAAAGTTCGAAGAAACTTGCTTAAATAGCAGTAGTACGCTACACGTCGTAGAGTAATTCTAAATTTTATACTGTTGGCTAAACGAGTGTTCAAAATTAAATTAAAATGTCGAAACGCGTAGCAGTGGTAAAGTTAACTTAGTGAATTTGTAGACAGGATATTATATATATCTAGATCTAATGAAGTTGGCACTTATTTAGTTTAGTTTAGTTAAATCATTTAAAAATATAAGCATCATGAATCATTGTATGATGCAGGCGGCAGTATAATTAATTAATGTACAATTCCCTAACACTACTAACTAGATTCTAAGTTTATTGAATTGATTGACGATTAAATTATGTAATCAATATTAATTATATGTTATTATGATCTAGGTTACTGGTTCAAATAAAGGTATTGGTTTTGCCATTGTCAGAGCATTGTGCAAGAACTTTGATGGTGATGTTGTGCTTACAGGTAAGAAAAAGGCCAATTTGGCAGTACTGTGTAAAAAGTTTTTATATTTTCACATTTTCAAACCAGATCTAAATCTAAATTTAGAGTAAATCTAGTTTATTATTTTATGGCTAATTACTAATCAGAGCTATTTCTACTTGATCTAAATTTAAAACAAGCTAAAATAAATTTCAGTAATAATTAAGTTTTAGACTTTGGACCAAAAAAATTGAGTTTGCAAGACAAATAATTTCAAGTTGATTATTTCTTCAGCTCGAAACCCTGAACTTGGTAAACAAGCAGTTTCAGATTTGGAGAAAGAAAATCTGCATCCTAAATTCCACCAGCTGGACATAGATGACCATAACAGTGTTGTAAGAATTCGTGACTTTCTGAAAGAAAACTATGGAGGTCTGGACATTCTTGTTAACAATGCTGGCATTGCATACAAGGTGATTTTTTTTTGTTCATTGCTTACTAAGTGATTTGATTTATAAGATCTTTTTTTTTTTAATCTGGAATAAAATAAATTTATAATATTATAAAGTTTGCTTTAATACCTTGCTTTAAAACCTATCATTATTTATGGATAAAGTACCGGAACCCACAATAAATAATTGTTTTATTGTAGCATAACTTCTAATTTGCCTTTAAATTCTAAAGAAGTAGTTAAGTCAAGTTGTGTTTATTTTTTATCAGCGTGGTGTTTTCATGTGGAGTGGGATTTCTAGAAATGTTATACGGTTAGAGGTGGGGGGTAGTCTATGGAAATGTTATATAACACTGTGTATCAGGTAGGGGACATTATTAAAAATCCCTAATTTTTTCACAGCAAGCATCCACTGTTCCATTCGCTGAACAAGCTGAGGTATCAACAAAGACAAACTTCTTCAACACATTAAATGTTTGTCAGGTTCTCTTCCCTTTGCTTCGGCCACATGCTAGGTCAGTTTTTTTAAACTTCAGGAATTTTTTTTTTTCGTAGAATTTTTTTAAGCTTAAAATTTGTATGCATGTTTTGAAGATTTGTGATTCTACTTCTTTGAGTTATCCTGATATTTATTTAACTTTCAAACTTTTACTTTAGGGTTGTGAATTTGTCCAGCTATGGTTCTCAGATGGCTTTATCTAAGTGCTCCAATGAATACAAGGCTAAATTTACTGATCCTAATCTCTCTATGGATGAGCTGAAATCTATCATCAAAAAATTTGTTGAGTAAGGAAAAAAATTCTATTTGTGCCATAATATTTATAAATTTGTATACATTAAAGCAAGTGAAAATATTAAACAGTGTGTAGGGCCTATTTTAAAATATCCACAAAACTTAACGAACATGTTCTCAATTAATTTTTTCCTCTTCTCTCCATTAGCTTGGCTAAAGACAACAAACACCAGCAGGCAGGTTTCCCTGACTCAGCTTACGGCATGTCAAAGATTGGTGTCACTGTCATGTCAATAATTCAACAGAGAGAACTGGACAAGAAAGGCTGTCAAGATATTGTTGTCAATGCTGTAGGTTCCTATTATTTTAGCCTTGACGTCTTAATTCAGTCTTTAAAGTTGGTTTTTTAAAAATATTTGGATTAAACAGCTTGATAATTAAATTTATCAAATTTCCAACTTAAAAGTGATATTTTTTTTACAAATTTTAAAATAGAAAAGTAGAAAATTTATATTTTATATACATTAAGATGAGTCATAAGTAAATAATATTTGCATGTCTTGGTGACTAATGGTTGTTTTGACTGTTTAAACAATTTTTGTTCCAGTGTTGTCCCGGTTACGTTGCCACTGAGATGACCAGCTATAAAGGAACTCTCACAGTTGACCAAGGTAAAATTCAATTTATTACACTTCATTATGTTTTCCTGTTTGTGCCCAAGACACATGGGACAGATGAAGCAGAGAATCTGTTTCAATTACCTTATAAATGAAGGAATTATGTGGTCAGCACTATTCCCAACCACCTTAGTTTCCCTAACACAAGTCAGGTATCAGGGGGTGGACTCAGGGGTGACCTGAATCCCTGATTTGAACTCGTTCTTTTTGGGTTAGCAGTCGTAATCTCTACTATCAGACCACACCATCCTTATTACACTTTAATATATGAAAATGCCTGTACATGGGTATAACTGTGATTTACCTGATATTTTTTGTCCACAGGAGCTGAAACACCTGTGTATTGTGCTCTTCTACCTGCAAACATTGACAGCCCCAGGGGACTTTTTATCAGGGAGAAGAAAGTTTCTGAATGGAAAGCATGAAAATCAAGTTCTCAAACTAGGACGTTTTTGTCATACAAGGCTGAAAAAATAATTCTGTAATTTTAAACTGTAAATTAAAATTTGTTTTAATTAAGATGAAGATTGGCAAAATACATGACTAATGATAGTTCTCATGCACTTTGACAGTGACAAATAACAAATTCACCTTGTATGTTAATAAAATATGTATTCACTTTCCAGCTAATGTCAGTAATAAAGGTAAAAACTATTGACATTTGGAAACTTTAAAGAGACACTTTTTAAAGTTTCTGTTCACAAAAATTATATTTTTTTGGTCTTGAGTGTCATTGTCATTGTTAATTCTTTTTAAATTACAAAGAAATCAAGCTTCAAAAATGTGTTAACACAGGCACAGTCCAAGTTGTGGTTTAACACCTGATGATGAGTCACCCCAGCAGTTACAGGTACCCAGCATAAAATGAGTGGGGTCACAAAAGTCAATCAGGCTTTATGCTGCTGGTCACTTAATCACTTCCTAATGACCTGGACACGAAAACGGACACTGTTACTGAACTAGTTCTAAGTACCTCACAGAGTAGGGCTCTGAATGGCTGTGATATGATTTAAACAGCTAAATGAGGTTCATTTATACCTCTGTTTAAATAGTAAACAATTAGATTATAGACATATTTTTAAGTTGTAGTACTATTCTAACAGGCAGTTACTATGTTGTTACTAAATCTACTGTAAGAATGACATAATAATCTGCTGTTTGAAATTTGATGTTTACATCTTATAATTACTTTTTTTTTTAAATAAATGTAATAAAAGTAATAAATAATATGTGTTCTCCCATTTTTTATGCTGTATGCTTGTTTTGCTATGTTACAAAGCCAAATAATACTATGATACTTTCTGTTTTACAAAAGTATTAACATATTAGAAGCAGGGTATAATGTATTAAAAAATGTGCGCTGCGCGGATTTAGGATGGCAGGAATAGAAAGATATTCGGCCTACATATGGTATGTCAATCTTTACACAAACCACAAACACACCCTGATTAAAACACGAAATCTTTTCAACGCACCAAAAATTTGTGCAATGTCATCATGATTCAGAATATTTTTTTCCCGCCAAGCTTGACCTAGAAAAAAATGTCGCATCGATCAATTTCACGTCTGCTACTGAGTCACTAGGTACATTGGAAGTTAATCTCGACTATAGGTTGGTCTGTTCCAATATTAATCTCAAGAACCCCCCCCCCCCCCCTTAAACAAATTGTAAAAACGAAAAAATTAGAAGTCAAAGTGCTGCTGTCGTGTTTGTCGACTTTTTCCCTCACCCACTAAAAAAACCTGGTCACTGACAACGCCTGTTAAATAAAATGACAGTCTAGCACTAATTTTAGATAATAGACATAAGCCTTCATACGTGATTAAATTATTTGCACCAAATTTAGTGCTTTGGTTATCCATCTAGAATCTAGTTGACCTATACATCGATCAACCCGTTTATTGCTGGATCGATTTTTAACATTTTTTTGCAAGTCACGGTTCTCAAATTCATCGATAAGTCTAATCTTGACCAAAACGCGCTAAATATTTAAACAAAGTTCTTGTTGAAAAATAAATAAATATGGGGTTGTGCCGTCAATTAAGGGTGGGGTCTGAAATTTCGGGACGAAGTCTGACTACGGTCGTTGGGGAGAGGGGGGGGGGGTAAAATTTGTTTTATGTAGCCAAATAAGCGTAAGTTTCACAACCATTCTCCCTTCTCTAAAACTATTAAAACACACTGTGTTGCGATGCACAAATAAACCACCTATTATAACTTGTATTTGTGTGTGTAATTATGTCTCTCAGATCTTTATGAAACATTTTTTAGTTCCCTAAAATGCGTACAATCAAATAAAATTTAGACTAGATCTAGATTACTATGAACGCAAAAACATAACTAAGTTCTACTAAATGATGGTGTTCAGTGGCGTAGCGAGGTCGGGTGTCACCAGGTGCGGCACTTAATGGTATCGCCCCCCCCCCCCCCCTAGAGGCGTAGCGACTCTTCCCGGGGACAAACTTTCAATTTTTGATTTGTACCCCCCCCCCTCAAACTTTCGATTTGCACCCCCCCTCTCAAATTTTTCTCTATATATTTTACTATTTTTTGCCTTGGTGTCACCCTCCTAAATGGTGTCACCCGGTGCGGTCCGCACCCCCCCCCCCTCGCTACGCCTCTGATGGTGTTATTTATCAGTGGTAGGCTGGGCGTTCATAATCATTTAACGCTCTGACTTAATCACTTAGGCCTAGAATCTGCATGTATCATGTATATCTAGTCTAGATCTAGATCTAGTTAGGGCCAGTAACTCTGACCAAAACATTCAAAAGCATTCGAGTTTATCTTTCGAATATAAGCAGGACTAACTGCGGTCTAGATATCGATATCAGGTAGATTTTACTTGGTGTTGGTGCCGTGAAGCCTTTAAATTCTCTGAATTAAGGGATTAAATAGTTGCAGATATAAGCGTTAAGAGTTAGTAATGAGCAAAAAAGTAGCCGTGGTAAGTGATTCACATTTTTAACACTTTAACTTTAACAAATCTTCAGTTTGCACTCATTTAACCTACTTTTTCAGTGTAGTAATACTCTAGAAAGGTCAAGGGTTAAAGTGCAGCAGGTTAATTTAAGTAAAAAAAATCTTGCTAAACATAAGTTATCGCCTTTTAATGTTTTATCCACTTATTATAATTAAATTAAAAGATGTAAACTATGTCAACCGGCCAATGTACTTGTGATTGTCTTTAATTCATAATTGTTCTTGCGGTGATCTCACCAGTGACGTATGTATCAGCCTATAACAGTAGATGAAGAACTATGTATTTTATTTATTTACTAGCGTACCACTTGTACCAGTCCCCGCGCGTTGCCGCCAGAGTTTCTTCCAGGCATCTCGTCGGGGAGGGCAGAGCCCCCCCCCCCCCCCCGAAGAAAGTCTACCGCCCCCCCCCCCCCCCGAACGAAATGAAATTTATATAGAAAATGTATACTTTTAACAGTGTCCTCCCCCCCCCCCCCCGGAGAAAAAAAGTCTGGAAGAAACACTGGTTGCCGCGGGGATAGAAGTAAGTCTGACGAAATATATAAGAAGTGTTTGATGAATGCGTTACCAATCCTATGTTCTTAGACGCGTGACCTTGTTTTCTAAAACTGAGTTATTTAAATGTAAACAATGCCTGCGCTTGGATCATAAATATCGGGACACAAGTTTACCTACACTACCGCATGAAAACATTGAGTGTACGTTAATCACTTGCCGAAATAATGAGTTCGATCACACATCGGAGACCACCCATGTGTCAGGGACGTAGAGGGGCGCTCTCGGGAGCCCCCGATTACACTACCGCAGAGGCGCCATAGTGCTCGCAGGGCAACCTGAATATAGTAGTCCCTTACCCGCTATGTATGAAACACGATTAACGGATGCCAAGTGCTAACATAGCCGCTATGAAACTCTGGGCGCCAAATTGTGTATTGACGAAAATCGCCCCCTCCCGGGTGCCGCTCATATCGAATTTTAATTATTTTGTTAACAGAAACCTTCCCGGGAGTATTCTCATCAACTCCTTAAAGTTTCATAGCACTCGAGTAAACAGTGTCAGACCGCATTCGACTTTTATTTTTTATATGCCGTATAAAGAGAAAAAAATCGCACCCTCCCGGGGCGCCGCCCTTGCGAAATTAAAAGTTTTTTTGTGTGCAGAAACCTCCCCTGAAGTGTTCTAATCAACTCCCCAAAGTTTAATGGCGATTGGATGATGGTGTCAAACCGCAATCGACTTTTATTTTTTATATACCGTATTTTGAGAAAAAACAAATCTCGCCCTGCCGGGGCGCCACCCCTGCGAATATTGAAATTTTAATTTTTGGAATAAACCTCCCCAGGAGTATTCTCAACAACTTTCCAAAGTTTCATTGGGATCAGATGAAAGATGTAGCAAAGCGTAAAAGACAAACAAACAAACAAACACACACACACACACACATACATTGTTTTTATATAGATAGATTTATGCCACACATGTTGCGGTTATTACCAGCGTCACGAGTATGCCGGTCTCGTCTGAAATAAGACATATAAATAGAAATGATTTCATTAGCGTTTAGATTATATCTCTGTATTGTTAATCAAGCTGCTAGTTCTAAACCATATTCTGTATGATATATGAACATGTAGATCCTCATAGGCCGAGAACTTATGTAAACATATTCTTGTATTTAATGTCACATAACCAGAAGAAAGTACAGCCCCCCCCCCCCAACGAAATGGAATTTATATAAAATACATACTTTAACCAGTGTCTGTCCCCGAAAATGTTAAGTGTCCCCCCCCCGTCCGGAAAAAAAGTCTGGAATAAACACTGCACACTACACATAGCTATCCTCGTCTGCTCATAACGGCAGTCTAAATCCAACAAACATTATATAACAAACTAACAAGCTAAAGGAATCATTTATATATATATATATATATATATATATATATATATATATATATATATATATATATATATATATATATCTAATATATAAAGCTCAGTTCTGTATGTAAAACATATGTTTGTCGTTGGTCTTCGATGGATTTAAGTGTTAGATAATTAAAGTCCTTACAGTCTACATTTATGAGTTAAAAAATTAATATTGAAAGTTTTGGGAAATAATTTTCATTTATCAAACTGAAAGTAATAATTTTCGGCATGTTTATTAAACACAAGTTTTAAAAAAATATCATCTTTTACAACAATTCTAATTATGTCTTTATTTAGTCCTATAGCACTTACTTCCCTTTGTTAAATTAGGAAAACACAATTACTTCCCTTTATAAAACCATTGCATTTTGTGGAAAATAATTTAATTTTTAATTACTTTGTTTTGGTGTTGGGAAAAAAAAATAATTACATAATTAGCGGGGATTGATCAAGTGCAAATGTTGTAGGTATTTTCCGGATAAGCTTGGAGTATTATAATTGTTCATCAAATTGAAACAGGCGCGTTCGTTTAAGTGAGTGCAAAAGACTATGAATAAGTTGGGGTACTATAGTCGTTCATTAAGCTAAAACAGGTGATTCCGCCCCGGGCGTTTATGTTCGCGTTAGTGTTTTCTTTGTGTTTAGGTGGGTTTGCGTTAGTGGTTGCGTTTTGATTTGGTTCGTTTTTGTTCTTTCTTTTTTCGTTTTTGTTTGTGTTTTTTTCTTTGGGTTTGTATTTGTGTTTTTGGTTGGTTTTGTGTTTGGATTTGGTTTGTTTTCGTTTGCTTTTTCGTTGTTTTTTTGTGTTGGTATTGGTGTTTGTGGTTGTGGTTGGGTATGTTGTTAGGTTTTTGTTTTCGTTTGCTTTTTTGTTTGTTTTTTCTTTGTGTTTGTATTGGTGTTTGTGGTTGTGGTTGGGTTTGTTGTTAGGTTTTTGTTTTCGTTTGTATTTGTAATTGTGTTAGCGTTATGTTTGCGTTTTGTTGTTTTGGTTTTGGTTGGTTGTGGTTTGGGTGGGCAATGCCGGGTTTATGATGATTACTAAACACACAGGTAATGGTCTTTAACAGAAAGGTTTTTCACAGAAGCCAGAGCAGGGCCTGGCCGGGACGGCTAGTATATATATATATATATATATATGACTGCACGGTTTTGTTTTAAATTATAGCCCATCCCCATAGTCACACATCGCTACAAAAAGCCTAAAATGACGTCACACATCAGCATACTACTCTCTTCAAAAGTAAAATTAAAAAAAAATAATTTAACATCGATTTCTTTTTAAACTATTTACTGCTTTCATTCAACATTATATGATTAATTTTCTATTACTATTTACGAAAAAAAAATCTCCAATTTGCTTTTTAAATTAAAAAAGAAAATAACCATTAATACTTTTTTTCCCAGTTATAAATTTGCGCGTTCACCTATATAAAAATACCTTTTTTTCAACGTTTTGTGTCTATGTTATGTTTATTGAACGTTTGAACAAGAGTTGGTCAGCGAGTGATCGGCCCTTAGCAAATATTCGCTGTTATCAATTATTTTTACGAACCTGAAGATTCGTTGTTTGACTAGCCCTAGTCTAATAAAAACTAGTCCCTACTGTTTTTGTTGTTGTCGGTATTGATGTTAGTTGTTGTTTTTGTTGTTGTCGGTATTGATGTTTGTTGTTGTTTTTGTCGGTATTGATGTTAGTTGTTGTTTTTGTTGTTGTCGGTATTGATGTTTGTTGTTGTTTTTGTCGGTATTGATGTTCGTTGTTGTCGGTATCGATGTTTGTTGTTGTTTTTGTTGTTGTCGGTATTGATGTGTATTGTTGTTTTTGTTGTTGTAGGTATCGATGTTTGATGTTGTTTTTGTTGTTGTCGGTATCGATGTTTGTTGTTGTTTTTGTTGTTGTAAAATTAATTCTTCTACTCCCCACAGGTGACGGGGGCTAATCGGGGCATAGGGCTGGGAATAGTGCGAACTCTGTGTAGCCAGTTTGACGGGGATGTGTTTCTTACAGGTAAAGTAGTTCAAACAGCTGACCAACTATCTATATCAGTGTCAGTGGTTCTTAACCATTTTGTGTACCGACCCCAACAGCTTCTTATATCATTTGGCATTTATTTTACTGGTGTACAATTTGAATCGTGCATCAACATAATTTCCCCCCCCCCCCCGTTGTGTTTATCGCTTAGAATTAATCTAACTCGATAAAGAATATTTTGCTTTGTAATAAACACATTTTTTGTTTGGTGTCACCCCTACCCCTCATCCGGAGGTGTACATTTGTATTTAAAAGTAAATGCGGCCCATTTTTTTTATTTTTTTAATATTTTTTTTTAATACTTTTATTTGCAATTAAACAAGTACATCAACATCAAATTTTTTAACATAATTTTGAACATCAAATGAAAACGAAAGGTTTTGCAAATGTACATAATGAATATTTACATGATGTCATGTATTTGATTATAAAAAAAAATTGCAAAGGATGACAGTAAAAGGGGTGAAGGTCAAATGAAAGTTGGGTGGGTAGAGGAAAGGAAATTTTTCAGAGAGAGTCAATGGGACAGTGAAGCATTTTCTATGTAGGGAAACAAATTAAGTTTACTAGTTGAAAGGTGTTGTAGTGGTCGCATTGAGTTTTCAAAAGGTTGCAGTGTGAAAGATGAGGGGAAAGAGACAAGATTTAGAACTTTAAATAAGTTCTGGATATTGGTGTTGCTGTGGGTGGTGGGGTCGTTGGAACAGTTAAAGGGATTGTGGGGTTATCATTCGGGGTACTCAATATCAGAAGGAATAAATAAGTCAAGCGTCTCAGATTAATAAATAACTTCCAATGATGAGTATCTTAACTTCTATACATCAAAAATGTAACTGGGCTATTGGTTTTCAGTAAAAATTAAAACACAGAACAAATGATGATTCTAAAATCAATTAAATGTAAAGGCTAAAAAAAGTATAATAACATTTTCTATAAATATATTTTTTATAAATAAATAAAAATTCACATTTTTTTCAATCACTATTCAATCAATTTACATTTTAAACTAATCTTTGAAACTTAGTAATAGGTGTTTTCCCTTGGACTTCTTAATGTTTAAATGGGAAGTAACTAATATTTATTGTAAGACCATTCCAACTATTTATTTTCAACAATAAACACTGAGCATGGCTCCTAATTAATCTTTCTGTAGGCACCGAGCCCCACCAACTTCGTAAACTCGTTCACCGAACCCTTCTTAATATTAAAAATAAAATATGATTTTCAAAACATAAGTATATGTTTTACTCAGTGGCGTAGCGAGGTCGGGTATCACCCGGTGCGGCACGTAATGGCGCCACCCCCCCCCCCCCCAGAGGCGTAGCGACCCGGGAACAAACTCTCAATTTTCGATTTGCACCCCCCCCCCTCAAACATTCGATTTGCACCTCTTAAAAGACTATTTAACACTCGAATTAATCACTTAATTAAGTGGAATTATCATTTTTCTCTATATATTTTGCTATTTTTTGCCTTGGTGTCACCCCCCCCCCCTAAGTGGTGTCACCCAGTGCGGTCCGCACCCCCTGCCCCCCCCTCGCTATGCCTCTGGTTTTACTGGTACCCAAAATGAACATTAGACTTTCTTCGGGGGGGGGGGGAGGTCTGAACCTCCCCGAAGAGATTGTTGTAAGAAACACTGCATGCATTTGAATCCATTTTGTACATATTAGTCCGACCATGTTTTATGTACAGGACATAGTATGAAAGGATTAAAATATTAAGAAAGAAATCACACGACATATCACCATGACAGTCACAAGACGACTACTAGGCCACGATATACAAGTAAAAAGTTGGTTCGTCACAGCACGAATACACACGATCAACGCGCGCCTGTGTAGGTGGCGTTGACACGATTCGTGACGTATGTGTGTTCAGGGTTTTTACCATATAGAAATATCACGATACCGATACGTGTTATCCCGCTCTGGGGTATTTGAACTGTCATCGGCCGCTAGTTCTATCGTCCGCACTGACAAAATCATATCCTAATCAAATTTCATATGCGTCGAGTGTGTCTATCATCCACACAAAATTAAAACGGTAAGATAGTGAATACTTTGTATAACATGGGTAGGTCCCTATGCACACCACTTAAACGTTTTCTTAGTTGATTAACAGATAGAAACGTACATAGCCCTAATTTAAGTTTACCTTGGCCTTGGACAAGATATCACCCAAAATATTATTACATATATCTTATCATAAGTGGTCTTCCTTAGCTTAAGTCATACACTGTGTGTGTGTATGGGGGTGGGGGGGTGCTAATTTTTCTAACTTGTTACCGAGTGTTATGAATGGGGAAGTGGGGGATGTACGAATAAGAAATATTACATATACTTTTTAAAAAAAAATCAATAATGAAATATTTTTTTTTGGTTTGTCTTATTATTTGGCTATTATAGAAAAAAGGCGAATTTTTCATTACTCCAATCGCGGTGTGTACAAAGTGTAGTTAGGTTGTAAGTCTTGGGAGGTCGTAAATTGTAAAAGTAATCAGCAAAAATTATTATTTAAGCCAGGTGTCTCCAAACTACGGCCCGCGGAGATCATTTTGTCCACGGAAAAAAACATTTGTTGTTGATGGCTGAGGAACTTTGTCCAGAAAAATCAAAGACATGCCTGGAAGAAACCGGCCCCCGAACTGAAATTTTATAGTTAATGCGGCCCTCGGACTGAAAAGTTTGGAGACCCCTGATTTAAGCTATAGAGGATCATCTATTTGCTAATTAATGATTTTTATAAAGTGATATTAGCAAAATATTACACAATATTTTTAATTTCTGACAGTGACCTTTAAAAAATTATAAGTTAAAAAAAATTGACAATGACTTTAAAAAGTGCTTTGTGACAAAAGTTTGACCATTACTTTAAAACGTAATATGTGACAGAAATTTGATTTTGACTTTAAAAGTGAAATGTGACAAACATGATTATGACCTTAAAAACTGATTTTTGACAAACATGTGACCTTGATTTTAAAAAGTGTTATGTGACAAATATGACTGTGACCTTAAAAATTTGTGGCAAAAAAGTCACAATGACTTGAAAAAAATGATATGTGACAACAATTTGACAATGACTTTAAAAAGTGATATGTGACAAACATGACCGTGACCATATAAAGTGATATGTGACAAAAATTTGCCAGCAAGAGATGAAGTGAAAGGCCGTGCAGCTGTAGAGGAGCTGGAGAGGGAGGGTTTGAAGCCCAAGTTTCACCCGCTGGACATCAGTGACCATAGCAGTATAAAACAACTCAGGGACTTCCTGTTGAAGAATTATGGTGGATTGGATGTTTTAGTCAACAATGCTGGTATAGCATTGAAGGTATGCAGATAAACCATTCTTGATTAGTGCTGAATCTATCAGTCAATTATGGCTAACATATTATGATTTTGTATAATCCTGAATATATATACATACATATATATATACATATATATATATATATATATATATACATATATATATATATATATATATATATATATATATATATATATATATATATATATATATATATATATATATATATATATATATATATTTATATTTATATTTATATTTATACATGTATACATATATATATATATATATATATATATATATATATATATATATATATATATATATATATATATATATATATATATATATATGTATATATATATATATAATTTTAGAAATGAAAAAAAACAGATCAATATTACTAAATTAGGAACGCAGAAGAACAAGTAGAAGATCAATATAATATATTACAACTAATTAAATAGGCTAACTTATGAATGTCTGGAAAAAAAAATTCTGTAAATCTGTAAAATAATATTCATCATGAATATGTTAAATATTGTTAATCATAATAAAAACTGATAAATCTCATGCATTCTTAAAAATATTTGGATTTTGACCTTTTATAAGTAGCATTAGTTAACATTAAAATAAACTAACCAAAAAGCCAACAATATTAGATAAAAAATTGTAAAATTTGTTTTTAGTTAATAAATAAGAATCAATGTTATTTATTTCACTTTATGAGTAGGTACTTCATCAAATGAACAAATTAATCATCATAAAATTGTTCTTTTTATATTGCATGTATATCTATATTGTATATTACTAATCTATCATTACCCTTAACGGAGGATACAAGCTTATCTTTTGCTGAGAGGGTAGAAAAAACTGTCCAAGTCAACTATTTTGACAATCTGGCATGCAGCAATATTTTGATGCCAATCTTGAGATCTAATGCTAGGTAAGCTAATGCTAGGTTGGTATCTAGATTCTAGTGAAGTTGGTTTTCTAGGCTTCAAACTACCACTACCTTGGTAGGTGTAGTAGAGTTACCCAAAAACAAATGGGGTGATCACAATTAAAGAAGTGAATAGGTGATGCATCATATGTCCTTTTCTTTCGTTAGAACGATCAGTTTTTAAAAGAAATATTGAATTATTAACTACATATTGTGTCCATTTGGAGAGATGTTTTAAAATATTTTTTAAACATGGTTCTTCCTACATTTGTACACATTAATAATCAGTTAACGTTTGGTTATCTCCCTTGAAAATATAGCAAATAAATTTTTCTTAAAAAACTGAATACAATAATTTAGATTTTGGTCAACAATTTAAAAAAGAGTTAATAACCAGCTGATTGATTTTTAAACTTTGAATTTAATTTTTGCTTTTACATAGCAATAAAGTATTGACTTTTGTTAACAATTAATAAGAAAATTGATATAATGTACAGAGTTTGTAATATATCAAGTATGGCATCCAGTATGGCCGTACAACAGTGTTCACCAGAGATTGTGGCCAGACTTACCAAACCAGACCTCGAGATTGAAGAGCTCTCAGCAATCATGAACCAGTTTATTCAGTAAGCGAAAGTTTAGTCCTTAATGTTCTCATTGATTAAAACATAACTCTGATTAAATGAGTCTATTATCAGACATTTGTATCTTCAATCATCTGAAATATTTATTCAAAATTAATGAATTTTCAAGAAAGAAAGTTAATTTATACTTTAACAATATGAGATTTCAAACATTTGATAGAGGGGAATGAACTCTGTTTTAAAAATTTAGAGCGGCAAAGGACGACACATTTTTACAGCAAGGTTTCCCCCAAGATTCGTACGGCTTTCCTAAGATTGGGCTGACAGTCATGACAGCCATTCACCAATGGGAACTGGATAAACAGGGGAGGGAAGACATCTTGGTGAACGCTGTAAGAAACATATTGTAATTTTTTTCTGTTTTTTTTAAATACATAATCATGAAGGATGTCACTTATTTCAAGATGTTATGAATTTATAAATTTTGTTTATTCTAATCAGATATTTTTTGAGTACAGTTGGGTACTGACCGTTTAAGCTTGCAGACTCTAAAATTGATAAGCCTGAATGAAAACTCATTTTTTTTTCTTATTGATGTTTATTATGAATGAACCATATTTTCTAAAGTTGTTTAATCTATAACGAGGTTCAATTAATCAAGCTATCAGACTGGGCTGTTACAGAAGTCTAGTGAAAAATATTTTTTGTTTTAAACTCTTTTACCTAAACTGATCTGACTTTTCACTTAACTAGCCTAGACAAAGCCTTATAGGGCTGGTTAGTAGGTCAATAAACAGTTCTATGGCTCATGCAGGTTTTATTGAGCCTTAGAACTGGTTGGTGATTTACTTACCAGCCCTATAATGTACAGCATCATTGTTTGTGAACAAAATTAAGTCCAGGGAATGGCTTCAATTAATTATGTTAATATTTTTTTTCTTAGTGCACACCAGGATATGTCAGTACTGACATGACAAAACATCGCGGTGGGCTGTCAGTGGCTGAAGGTAAAAATGTGTTTATTTTATGACATATCCCGTCCTCAATTTACCTGGTTACTGGTACCTTTCAACTAAAACCATCTGTTAGGATTGTAGAAAACTGAAAGTTTCTGTCAGGAAAGTGGGAAACTAAAATATTTATACAAAAAATTATTCTGAGCACATCCAGCTTATTTTTATAATGATAAATTCCAAACATTTAAAAAAAATTATATTAAAAAGCAATTTTTGGAGCTTTCCACAGTTTCAGGTTAAATCTTTCAGCTAATATTGTCAGCCATGTCCAGTAAAATAAAAGGTGGCCGGGCACGGTAATGGCCACACAGTCCCATCCTTTCCTATGCCCACAACTGTGTTATAAATAGTCCTGTTTTCAACCAAAAATACATGTGGATAAAAAAATAGAAACCAAAAATAAATATGTATAAAATATAAACAAAAAATAAATGTGTATAAAATATAAACAAAAAATAAATGTGTATAAAATATAAACAAAAAATAAGTGTGTATAAAATATAAACAAAAAAAAGTGTGTATAAAATATAAACCAAAAATAAATGTGTATAAAATATAAACAAAAAATAAGTGTGTATAAAATATAAACAAAAAAAGTGTGTATAAAATATACATATGTACACCTGTTGTATTGCAGGTGTTGTGACACCTATGTACTGCATCACCCTACCTGCTGGCACCACCAGCCCCAGAGGTCAGATGTTACGTGACAAAGTTCCCGTGGACTGGGTCAACTTTAAAATAGAGATGCCAAGCTGGTACAAAGAGGAGAAGTGATCCAACCAAGCGCTTGATGGATTCAGAGTTACCCTAGTTGTATGTTAAATCATCATTTTAAAGATTTATTATTATTAACACTTTTCCTTTTCTAATGTCTTTCATGGTTGTAGTTTCAATGAATGATAAAGTGGCTTTAACTCTGAAGGTTACGACAGGCCAAAAAATATCAGTGTTCACCAATCTCCTGGTTATACAACAAACTTGAAATCTATGCCTAAAGCTGTATTTAGTACACAATTTAGTACACAGTTTATGGACTGAAATGTATAATGAAGATAAAACATGTAACATCCTTATTTTTAAAATTTTATTGTTTTGGTTTGAAGTGGATCACAGCTACAATTAAAATATTGTGCACTCTACATAATCTTGTAATAAAATAAAAAATATTTTTAAAAAATGTAAAAGAAATAGATGACTTGAAATTTTTAAAACTTTAAATAAGACATGTTTCTTTCTTTGTATGTATAAAGCACCAATATAAAATGTAGAATCATAAAAATGTAACACTACCATAAAACATTTATTTCACAAAGCTAGATTTGTACACAGAAACAAAATTAAGGGGAAGCAATACAAATAAAAATATTTTGACTACTTCATTCAAATGTGTGCATTTTCTTTCTTATAGATCTTTAAATATGACTAAAATATAAAAATAGAATGGAATGATCAACCAAATAATTAGACAACTAAGCCAACGCTAATGAGGTAAATAAAATGTAACCAATATCACAAGGTCTAATAATAAAGGTGAAACTAAAAGTGTAAAACAAAGGTGGATCACATGTGTGCAACATAAATCAACTAAAATAGCTAACATCTATCTCAGAGGTAAAGTTTTGCATTACTTTTGATGTTGTCAAACATCGTGACAACACAGCAGACAGGTAAAATAATACTGCTGTCCTCTCTAAATAAATGACTTATAATTAATTAAAAAATTACAACACACGTCATTATTAACGAAATGTAAAATTTTAAAATATTCAACATTTAAAAAGCTGCAAACAAAAATGTGAGCAAAGTTGAGCAAAGTAAATAAAAAAGCCAATTTCTATCCAACTCATGTGAAAGTTTGAAAAAAATGAAACGAAAGACTAATATGCAGGTTAATAAAAAAAACTTCTGCATTTGTATCTTGAAATAGCAAATCAATACACAACAAAAAAATGTGAGAGTCAAACAAATTGAGATTGTGATCCAACATATGTATAAATTTACATACATAAATTAGTATAACCTGGCTATGGTTTTTAACAATTTCTTTGTAGTGACAAAATAGAGGCCTAATCAGGAAATTAAAAATGTAATAATTCATTTAAAAAGTGTGTAGAAGCTCCAAATGTCAAAGAACTTGTGACTAACAAAAAAAATGCAATGAATACAAACCAAAACAGTAAATAGCCAACAATGTCACAAAGGCAATCAGTTAAGATTACAAAACAACTTAATTTAACGATGATTCTACAAAAAACTAGATAAAATTTGCCATAAAAAAAATGTCACACTTTTACAAGATGAGACAATAGCTTTACATATACGAGAGGTGATTTTTGTGACAATATTTAATCTTATTTTGTTTTAGAAATACTTTATCCACCTAAACACTGAGTGTAAGAGTCTTAAATTACAATAGAAAATTTTTTTTTTGCAAGGTGGCATCTTAGATATCAACAGCTGGCTTTGTTAGCAACATTAGGTGTCACCTGCAAGGGTTGCTGTTCTTTAATATACAATAGAAATACAATTATTCATTGCCTGAATAGGCAAATAACCATTTTATTATGTGACATTATTTTATGGTCCTTTCTAAAATTAGGCATTGTTGAGCATTAAGTAAGGCACTATAACTGCAAAGTTTTGATAACATATAGCATAGATTATAATCAAGAAATTTATGTTAAGTAATTAATAATACTAAATGCTTCCAAAGATCCAGTGAAGCCTTGGTTTAATACTGCATAGTTATGAGAAGTGTGAGGCCAACAAGCTCTTGTTTAAACTTTCAACCAATCATAAACTCTTTTGTTCATGATGAACTTTCCCCTGGGACTCTCCACATCTGGAGGTAACAAACAGCAGTACAGAGGGGTTGAGGCTCCTGAGGAAGATTTTAGAAGTAAAAACTAACAGCTGGTTACATCTATGAAAACATGGCCTGAGAACTTGGAACAGTTCAAATTAATAATCGTATAAATGTTAACAGTTATTAAAAAAAGATTATGTGCATGATATTGATTTGAATACTAACAAGATTAATTTTTTATATCAAAACAGAAAATATTAATGGACACCACCGAGTTGACGAGAATCCTTCCGTAATGTTGTTGACATGGATTAAAAATGTGCTTTTTTAGATTTAGGACAGTAAAAATAATAAAAAATAAAAACTTAAGCCTAAGCCTAAAATTAATTTAGAAATTTAATATTTTTAGAATCAATGCTTTAAAAGTTGCAGATCCAGAGAACTTGAAAATAATTTGTTGAGTTTAAGGATACATTTCTATTTATTTTCATCAAGCCTAAGTTATAACCCAATGTTTCACTTTCGTAAGACAAACATTGATTGGCTGTACAGGAACTCCGTGATCGATTTCTGACTTTATAGTTTTTTTTTGTTTACAAAACTTTGCAGATCAAGTTTTTAAATAACAATGCAAATTTAAACCCCATGACCTAGTTTTTCTTTTGTTAGCTTACAATGTGTACAATAAAATTTATGGCGGCCTATCGAATAGCAGAATGCCATTGTTTGTGTTGCCATTACATGTGAAAACCAAATTGTTTTTGCTTTTTTTTAAATTTTTATTTAGTTACCGAAAATATTAAAAACATCAAATATATCCAATCTTTAGTAAAGTAGGAAAAAAACCAGACAGACAGACAGGATTTTATAACCATTTTAATTGTAACTACTCCGTGCATGATTTTTAAATTAATTTATGGGCCTATCAAATACCTTTGAGACTTTTCTCGTTGGACTCCATTCATAGAAAACAAGATTTTACCTTTTCATGTTGTTATTTTTAAAGTGTATTGACAGAGACTTGCATAAGTAAATTTGATTGGCGCCTGCCTGTTAAAAATCTGATTTAACCCTATGTTCACTGACCTTGGTCTATTGGCATCCCTGCTCCACCTGTCATGTCAGTACTGACCAGTCCTACGTCACACTGAAGTGAAACAGGTAGACAAGAAACAGAAAATAACAACCATACTTACTCTCAATATAAAAATAAAAAGAAAAGTTCCCTTTTTGAACCTGACAGTCCATGGGGCAAGTGTAGTAGAGTTCATCTGTTTCTGTGACCTCAGCATATAAAGGGATGGTGTGGTCAGAAACTATGACCAGCCGCCTTTACTTTCCCTAATGTTGTGTTAGGTACCCATCAGAGCTGAGTGGACCCAAGGACAATCTATTGACTTAAACCGAGATGCAAGCTTATAAAACTTTGGGGTTAGCACCACACCATCCCATCTTAATATAGGCCTACATAACTAAATATTAATTAAAATTGTTTTCATATCTAATCATCTTTTTAAAAAATATTTCTTTTTATCAAGTCTATCAAAGTAATTTTATTTAGATGATTGTATTTTAAATAAACATTCATTATAATAGTAATCATTTTAGTTATCTAAAAACTAATGTCCAACAAGCTAGAAATATTAAACTTTTACAAAAAAAACCATTAAACAGCTACATGTCCTAGTCTTGAAGACTAAAACTAAAACCAAATTCCTGGTCTAAAATGTTTGGTAGTACTGAATCGCCCAAAAGACTTACAGCATTGACAACAATATCCTCAGCACCTCTGTCATCAAACTCTTTCTGCTGCAGTGGAGTCATTAAGCTGACTCCAATCTTAGAGACGCCATAAGGAGAAATATCAAAGCCCTGTTCTTTCAACTGGTTCTTCTGGGCGGCACTGTAGAAATCAATAAATGGAAACACATTCAGTATATGATCAGCAGGCTTGAGTAACGCATAAAATATATTCTCCGCAGAGAAACTCATAAAATATATTCTCCACAGAGAAATTCATTCACAGACACATTATCAAGGACTGAATATTTTTTTTTATCCATGATTGAGTACTTTAAATTTGTGTTTATTTTAAAGTAATTAGTCAGTGTTAATTTATTTTGATTTTTTAATTAAATATATATTAATGCATTACTTTATGTATAATGTTGTGGTTCTCAAACTCATTACCCTCTGTACCCCTAGTCAGGCAGTGGTTTAAATAAACTCTGCAGACACAATGTCTACTAATAATCTCATATTGTATTGTTCATCTGTTTGAAAATCCCCTGCCCTATCCCCACAATACACGGAGTAAACAGTGCGCAAGGAATCCATCACTAGCATCCTGTCTTGACATGAGACTAACAAACACCAACACATCATGCAGATAAATAAAAAAAAACTCACTCAATGAATTGCTGCACCAGCGCTGTCACCCCATCCATAGTGATGTCAGGATTCCTGACTTTGGCCTTCAACTCCTCCGAGTATTCAGACAAAGAGAATTCACAGTTGATGCTAGACACATTGCACACTCTGATGGGAAAAAAAGGCATTTTTCCAGCAGAAAATTTAAAGATTTGTTTGTACGCTAATTTCATAAAGTAAAGTCATGTAAAAAAATTTCCAGATAAAAGCATTTATGCACTTTAAAGTAGTCTAAATAACCCCTACCCTTTTATCAGCTATTAGCCTGCACACAATTACAAAATGCAATTTTTTTTAAATTAAAAGAAGTGAAACATTCTAATTTGATACTTTAATGTTGACCCAACCTGGCATGTGGCCTCAGTAATGGGAACAGCACCTGGCAAACATCTAGAGTACCAAAATAGTTGACCTTGCAAACCTCTTGAGCTTCTTGTGCAATAGGGGGAGAGGGAGTACTCTAAAAGGTTTCAACAGATAATTATGGTTAAAATTTTCTGATTCTGTTTTTAATAAACACACAGATGGAATGTCTAGTGTTAAAAACAAACAAGGAACGTCATAAAAAGGGTTTAAATTTTTATGAGTCTTAATAACATACTGACATTAAATTCATAAGCGATGGCTGCGTTGTTGACAAGGATGTCCAGGCCTCCGTAGTTCTGTTGCAGGAAGTCCCTGAGCCTGACAATGCTCTTGTGGTCTGTGATATCCAGCTGGTGGAACTTTGGCTGCAGATCTTCTTTCTCAAGTTCAGCTACAGCAGCCTTCCCTCTGCCTTCATCCCGAGCTGAAGTAAATAAAGGACAAAATTACTGATTTAAATAAAAAGAGTATCATTTTTATGACAAAATTACTGATTTAAATAAAAAGAGTATCATTTTTATGACAAAATTACTGATTTAAAAGAGTATCATTTTTATGACAAAATTACTGATTTAAAAGAGTATCATTTTTATGACAAAATTACTCATTTAAAAAGAGTATCATTTTTATGACAAAATTACTGATTTAAAAAGAGTATCATTTTTATGACAAAATTACTGATTTAAAAGAGTATCATTTTTATGACAAAATTACTCATTTAAAAAGAGTATCATTTTTATGACAAAATTACTGATTTAAAAGAGTATCATTTTTATGACAAAATTACTGATTTAAAAGAGTATCATTTTTGTGTGTATTTTATGAATATTTATTTTGTAGTAGGATCAAATTTTGTGTTTGTGTTTAGATTAAAACTAAAACAAAGAATATTTTTTACCTACCAGTAAGGATTACATCCCCTTCAAAGGCCTTACACAGTCCACGGGTAATTCCGAATCCCAGACCTTTGTTGGCTCCAGTAACCTGGCAACAAAATAGTGTGGAACTTCATTAAAAAATGTCTAACATGTAATCTCAAAATATTATTTTATTTTTATTCAGTTAAAATAAAAAAAACAGTAAAGGGAGGGGAGAGATATCAAAACAAAAATGCTATACTATATGGATGGGGGTGTCACCCTCAGTATCCACTCCAAGTCACATCCAAGCCAGTGACACTACTGTCTAGGCCCTAAGACACTAAATATAAAATACTCACCACAGCAACTTTTGTAGACATGATCAAACTTTTTCCTGGTAAATTGTACTGTGTCCCCTGTTGGTTCGATGTTGGTTATTTATAAAAGTTGTCAAACCTAATGATAATTGATAATAGAGTAATTATAAATCTAATTCTAATCTGTTGTGGGTTGGGTTTGGGTTTGTAATTTTCGGATGACCATGTGATAAGGGGGTGGGGGGTATCTTTCTAATAGTGTGATATGTGTGATATCAGACTTTTGCATTTTATACATTAAGTAATGAAAGAAACTGAAATTCTTGATAGAATTAGTATCTTAGATACTAGATACTATCTAGTATCTAAGTTAAAGTATAGGCCTACTATATTTAATATTTCTATTAGGATCTATTACTATTAGTAGTATTAAGTATAGTTAACTATAGTATATAATAATATACTATATAGTATATAGGCTACTAGATGTAGTATAGACCTATTTATATAATATTATATATTTAAAAACTTAATTGATAGTATTATAGTCTAAGTATATATGTATAATAGTGTAGGTCTATAGTACTATAGTTGATAGCAGTAGTGACTGAGTAGTGAGTACTGAAGTGGTAAACTCAGTGGTAGGTAATAACATTATTTTTTTTTATAGTTTTAATTTAAATAATTTTATAGGCCTACAAACTAACAAACTAGCTGGACTGCTAACCCTAACCCGTAAGTCTCGAGTTCGAATCCGGGTTCAAGTCAGTAGAGTGAGTAGACCGTCCTTGAGTCCACCCAACTCTGATGGGTACCTGACTCACGTTAGGGAAAGTAAATGCGGCTGGGCATAGTGCTGACCACAGTATCTCTTCATATGCTGAGGTCACAGAAACAAGTGAACTCCACTTGACTTGCCCCATTGACCGTAAGGTTTGAAAGGGAAACTTTACTTTACTTTTTTACAAACTAACAAACTTACTAGAGTCTGGTAGACCTATTAACTTTAGTTAGAACTAGATCTAGATCTAATAGTTAGTAAGAATATTAGATTAAGAAGAGTTAAATAATAAAATCTAGAACATAGCCTACCGGATACTTTAAACCAAAAGTTAGTCATAGAAACGTGGGTGGATGCTAGCAATGTATTATGCACCAAACTACCAAAACAAACTGTGCCCTTGACCTTCAACAAAAACTCGACCCAGTTTACCTGTTGCTCAACATTACACAGATTGCCTCAAAAAGGTGTGATGTTAAATGACTACATTCTATATTGTAGTTAACTCCCTTGAATGTCCTTTATTGAGGTTAAAGTAACAAGTTATGCAAATTTTAAATACTCTTGCTTTTTTAAAGTTCTCCCCATCCTTTAATTAAAAGGAATATAATTTAAATTTATAGTCTAGTCTAGACTCTAGAAAATAAGAATACTAAAAATCAAGATCTAGAATCTAGATCTAGATCTAGATTCTAGCTAGATCATAAAGTCTTTACTTTTAGGCCTATGGTAACACTATGGTTCTTTATTATTTATTGAAGAATCATAAAGTTTTCTTGAGAAAACAGCGAATTTCAGAATTTGTCCCGTGGTTGTTTTTTCTTCAGGTACTGTTTAAGGCCTCATTATTTATGTTTTAATCTAATATAAATCTCCATATGCCTATATTTTCTTAATCGTGACATTTCTGGCGGTTAGCCTATGTTGTTTAGTTAACACTTGTACTAATAATAATTGGCAGAGAAATATTACCACCATTAACCAAGAGAGGCTACTCTAATATTTTATCTTAAAAAATATTTTCAATGTTACCCCCCTGTTTTCTTTAATATAAATAAAAAAAATATTAGAAGTTTTATTTTTTTCTTGATTGGAATCCTGTAAAAAAAAAAAAAAGAAAAAAAAAAAAACAATATAAACTACATACACGAATGAAGGTTTAATAATTTAATCAAATTTTAAATAATACTGAACAAATAATTTGCTGTAGTTGTGAAAAGATGCTAAATGTAATCTACAATAATTATAATAATACCTACAATTATACATAAAGCATAAAATGCATGAAATTAAACACATATTATTTAAAGTCATGTTATTATCACAGCCCTTTTGATATTTATTATTTAAAAAAACAAAAATAAAAATAATCATCTGAAGCTATGTACATAAATTCAAAATTCCCAGGTATCATTTGCTTCGTAAATAATTAAATGTCATGTACATCAACAGTCTTTAACAAACAAGAAAAAAAATTACACAAAATAAATAAATTGTATCTTCATGCGTACACTGAATCATGTACAAGCAAGAATCTAATGCAGCAATTCAAAATATTTTAAAACATTAATTAAAATAATTTAATTGGCACATTAAAATATTTACTTTTACAAGATATTTGTGAGAGCAATTTTCTTTTTAAAACTCAGAATTGTTTTGATATATATTTTTTATATATTTGTAGTGCTGCAAAACAGACTTAAAAATTCTTTAAATAAAATGTAGGTGGTTTAATATAACAATTTAATACCTTTTTAAAAATAAATTACAATGTTAAAAAATGAACAGACATAAAAATCAATTTTGAGATAAATAATTTTGGCATTGAAGATTTGGATTCTATCAATGCATTCAAGTGCCATTTGAATAGATTTATTATTTTATAATAGGAAACTCTTTGTGTATTTACACTTTTCAATACTGTAATATCTCTATTTGGTGGAGAAAGTAAATAGACTAGAGGTATTTTTTTTGGCATTGAATTATAGAATATTTACTGTAGTTTGAAATAGCTTGAAATATATCTTTAAAAAAAGTAAAAAAAATAGAATGAAGTGTTAAATCTACGACAGATAGGCAGGGGGTGTGTAAGGTACTGAAATGGGCGTGTCTGGCATCTGGGTCTGGAAAGGGGACTGTTGGGGCATCATTATGGGGGTCTCTGCTGGCACGCTTGGCCGAAGTTTGGTCGGTGACCCCCTCCTTGTGCTGACACTAGACTGTAGCCTTGACTGGCCCCTGGGTCTGTCTGAAGGGGTGGGGAGCACACTCCGGCTGGTCATCTGGCCGGCGGTGTAGGGGTTGTAGGGGTTTGATGCCTGGCTGGGGGTGGGGGACCTGTGGGAGAAAGGTGACCCCCGGGACTTGGGAGGGGGAGTTGGGCACACTGGTCTGTCTATTGCTGGCACAAGGGGGGTCTGGTTGATGTTGTATTCTTCCAGAAGTTTCCCGATTAGCTCTTTGTCTGTTGGGATAAGAATAATTGGTTTAATAATTGGCATTTCAAATTCAATTGGATCATTTAGAAACATTAAGAAAATGAAACAGCCTGTAAGTCTGATCACCCTTCTCACTTTTTTGTCTCACCACCCTGCTCACCTTTTGTCTCACCAACCCAGAGGCGTAGCGACCCTTCCCGGCGCCCGGGGACAAACTTTTCGATTTGCACCCCCCCCCCCCCCCTCAAGATTTTGATTTACACCCCCCCCCCCCCCTCAAACTTTCAATTTGAACCCCCATAAACCTTTCAATTTATTTTGCCAACCCATTTTGGCGCCCCCTAAAGTCGGCGCCCGGGGACATATGTCCCCCCCACCCCCCCCCCTCACCTTTAAGTCTCACCAACCCAACCTACTCACCTTTAAGTCTCGCCAACCCAACCTACTCACCTCTAAGTCTCACCAACCCAACCTACTCACCTTTAAGTCTCACCAACCCAACCTACTCACCTTTAAGTCTCGCCAACCCAACCTACTCACCTTTAAGTCTCACCACCCCAACCTGCTCACCTATCTCACCAACCCAACCTACTCACCTTTAAGTCTCACACGCCAACCTGCTCACCTTTAAGTCTCGCCAACCCAACCTGCTCACCTTTAAGTCTCGCCAACCCAACCTACTCACCTTTAAGTCTCGCCAACCCAACCTACTCACCTTTATTACTCGCCAACCCAACCTACTCACCTTTAAGTCTCGCCAACCCAACCTACTCACCTTTAAGTCTCACCACCCCAACCTGCTCACCTATCTCAAAACCCAACCTACTCACCTTTAAGTCTCACCACCCCAACCTACTCACCTATCTCACCAACCCAACCTACTCACCTTTAAGTCTCACCACCCCAAGCCTCACCACCATGCTCATCATCTGGTCTCACCACCACAGTTCACCTCTTAGTCTCACCACCCCAACCTACTCACCTCTAAGTGTCACCACCCCATGTACTCACCCTGCCCTGTACTCTGCTGATAGTGTTTCCTCAAAGCCTCGACCCCCAGTTTTTTGCCTACGTCCCTTATCTGCTCAATGACAGGCCCAGCGTTATCGTTGTAGTGCCTGTCGTAGGTTGTCCGCCCGTTGATGCCAATCAGACGCTTGTTGGCTGTGGGGACTAAACAAACACAACAATAAACAAACAAATAAATAAACAAATGCATTAATAAACAATACAAAATTAAACAAACATATTAATACACGAACAAACACATAAACAAACACGTTCTTTTCTGTCATACAATTTGTTTTGAATAAGCCTGGTACGTTTTGTTTTTTAATGATTGGAAACACACGGTGACGCTATGGTAAAGTTTTCTCCGACACATGAGAATGTGAGATGGTATTTTCCCGTGACGGATAAGAATGGTGTTTGTCTGTGAGTAATTGGTTCCCTGTGACCAGTGGCGTCACTAGGTCGGGTGCCACCAGGTGCGATTGTATCGGGCGTCGCCCCCCTCTGCGGAAGACTATATACCTAAACAATTGGAAAAATTTTTTTTTTTTTTTTGACGTCACACCCCTGGATGGTGTCACCCGGTGCGGTTCGCACCCCCGCCCCGCCTTTTGACGCTACTACCTGAGACTATTTTGTCGTCTAGGGATAACTAAATCAAGACACCATCCTGCTTGCAACACCACTGACCACAGCAGTAGACTCAACAAAAATTTTAGTTTTTAGAGTGGCTACATTTTTCTCTAGCTATGCTACATTTTTCTGTAGCTATGCTACATTTTTCTGTAGATATGCTACATTTTTCTGTAGCTATGCTACATTTTTCTGTAGCTATGCTACATTTTTCTGTAGCTATGCTACATTTTTCTGTAGCTATACAACACTTTAGAGCATCAGACAGGAATTTTAAAATTATTTTTTTACACAAAGAAATCAATAAATCGATGGTTTTAAAGTGTTCAGGAAAATAGGCACTTTGTAGATCAATAGAATCGATGATGTGACTTGTTAGCTTGAGGCACAAGAGTTTGTAATTGTGTGGCTATTGTGTGGCTATTGTGTGGCTATCGTGTGGTTATTGTGTGGTTATTGTGTGGTTATTGTGTGGTTATTGTGTGGTTATTGTGTGGCTATTGTGTGGCTATTGTGTGGCTATTGTGTGGCTATTGTGTGGTTATTGTGTGGCTATTGTGTGGCTATTGTGTGGCTATTGTGTGGTTATTAAACACAGTATAATGAAAGAGAACAATTTGTAAGGAGAAAATTCATGTGCGAAAAGTTGTCGATAAATGACCTCACACAACTGGGTGTGAAAAGGGGAGGGGGTAGTTTTAACTCTTGCAACGGTTGACTAAGTCCGGGGGGAAATGTTCTACTGGGCGGGGAGGGGGGGGATAATTGACAGGGGTAATTACTCGGGGGATGTCCGGGGGTAATTGGGGGGGGGGGGGTAATGCCCTGTTCCCATTTTTACATGTATGCCTATGTTTATATTTACGAAGGGAACAGAATTAGACGAGAGGAACATACAAATGATGTCCAAAACCTTTGAGGGGGGGGGGGGGTTCGACTTGTTTAATGATGTGTAGATGGGGGGGGGGGGGGTTGTTCTGATAGTGTGAGTCATACTTATGTGTTGTTGAGGGTGGGTGGGGAGATCAATATTATTTTTTAAGGTCTCATTGCTTATGCATAATCTCTAATCTCTCGACAGGTAAGTACCTTCAAATTTACTTTGATGTTTAGGACAAATATATTTTAAAACAATATTTTAAGTAAAATCCAAATAATTTTTTAAATCTATCACTACCTTCGAGGAAATTTATTAAGGACAATCCAAATAATTTAAAAACCTATAAATATCTCTAGCCAAGACTCACCGACTGCTAACGCTGGGACGTGTTTCTGACCGTTACTGCCGTAGCGGGTAACTGGAACAACCAACTGCTGCTGCTGAAATGGCGTCTGGTATGATGTACGCTGGTTTGATTCCATCCCATACGGCACATTTTCCCGCCAATTGCTGGGCAGGTTGAATGCAGACTTGACCTGAAAACCTGCAGACGGCAGAAATGACGCAGCTGGTCAGGAAAATGTTTTTAAAGAAAGATTAAAGCCATCAATAGAAGAGATTGAAAGATGTAGACGTAAGAAAAGGGACGGTTAACTCAATGCTAAAACCATGCACAATTTAAATTACTTGGAAAAGTTTCACTTCACTAAGGGGTTAATCCGATTGGAGCTCAGTCGTGGTTGTCACGTGTATGGCGGCGCACGTGTATGTGGCATGGATTAGTGGAACATGGGCGAGGGGGAATATGGGATTATCTCACAGCTCATTTTTGGGATAATCGATCAGCTCACCATGTTGGATTATCTTACACTCACCCTTTGGGATTATTTTCCAGCTAACATAATGGGATTATCTCCCAGCTCATGTAGTGGGATTATCTACGAGCTAATGTGGGATTATCTACAACTCATCTTGTGGTATATTCTACCACCTCACCTTTAAGCGATTATTTGCCACCTCACCTTGTGAAATTATTTCCAAACTTATGTGAGATTATCTACTAGGGAATCTTGTGGAGTTATCGACAAGCTAATCTTGTGGGATATTATACCAATTTTGGGATAATCTACTGCTCACCTTGTGGGATTATCTACCACCTCACTTTGTGGGATTATCTACAAGCTAATCTTGTGGGATATTTTTACCACCTTACTTTGTGGTGGGATTACCTCCAAGCTTATCTTGTAGGATTATCCCCTAGCTCACCATGCGAGATTATCTAGCACTGACCTTGCGGAATGCCCAGATAATCCGTCTGGTAGGTGGAGTGACAGAGCCGTCTGGTGATCTGATTCAGCTTCTCATTGGTCAGTTCCTCCGACACAGCCTCGTTCTGGACGTTGTTTTTGTGGTAGTTGTGGGGCAGTCGCCACACCATGAAGGACTGATGACGTAATCATCTCATTAGAACATAACGTTTTTAATGTAATGATGCATCATTATTTTATACACCTATAAATAAAACCGTGGGGCGCTATATTTTGTAAAGGGAAAAATGAAAATGTGTAGGCCCATCTCTAAATATAAATTGCCTGCAAAAACTTGAATGTGCGCTATTTATATTTCACTAATCAATAAATACATCGGTACTCAAATACTGCTAAAAGTTGAAACTATTATTAGAACTATGTATTTGTAAATGAAATACGTTAATTACTAAAATTTTATGATCGACCAATGTACAGGTGTCTTTACTTTCCCTAACATGAGTCAGGTACCCATCAGGGCTGGGTGGACTCAGGAACGTCCTATGGACTCAAGCCACAGATCCGAACTTGAGTCTTGCGAGTTAGCATTCTTACTCCCTACCGCCCCACCACGCCGTTCTATTAGCTACTGTAAGACTATGTAGCAATCAGTAATTAATTGTTTCAAGAAAAATTAAAAATCTAATTTTTTCAAAGTTCATGTTACGTTGTATTGACATTGGATCTTGACCTACGTGTCAAGTTTGAAAGAAATCGGTTCGGTAAAATTGTGTGAAATTTTGTTCCAGTTCAAGCTACCACCCATGCCAGACAAAGACAGACATGACGGTCGAGGAATCAAGTTCTATCACTCCTTATAAAAACTAGCTAACAGAACTTTTGTTTCGTCAAAAGGAAGCATAAAAAGTTTCATGTTAAGCGCTGAGTGAAGTGAGAGTAATATAAATACGAATGATCGGTTCGGTAATTTTAAGTTTGGACATCGGGCAGTTAAAATTCCTCTCCCTCCCTCCCCCACCGCATTGTAGAAGTTTGGATCAGTCAGTTATTGTAGCTAATTATATTTATAGCGACGATATGTTAGTTGTGTGATTAAATATGAATTTTCCCCACCATTATCTTTACATTTTCATCAAGAGAGACAACTTCGCGTTATATTCACAAAGTCTGTAACATGAAAAACAGCGGGTAGACAAATCAGTTTGTAAAGCGGATATTATTTTTTTTTAATCTAAAAATACACATACACATGTATTTTGCGAACATATATTAAACTTTCTTCATCTTTTTGAAAAATTTGGCTAAATATTCCAACAGTGTCTAAAATAGAAACACAATAACGTAATTTTAAAGTTTTAACTTTTAAGTGAAAGTTAAGTTGTATTCAATTGGATCAGTAAATAATAGCAGTTTGTTGACACCAAATTCTCAACAACTATCCTCCCACTGTTATTTCGGGGCCACCCACACTATTTAACAAATAACTTTTTAGTTATTCATACTAAACCCTGATTCAAATACTCTGACTTGCAAAATTGTGACGAGGGTTGGCCTAATTGAGTTTGTACCTAGACTATATCAGGACGGAAACTGTATCTTCCCTAGAATGTTTCGCTTAACAGAGCATTTCTCTTTCCCTCCCTCCCCCCCCCCCTCCCCATACTGACTCTCATTGAACTGCTCAGCTAAAATAAAGGCTGATACTTGGTCGTCAAACAAACAAAACGAGTTTCATTCTCTAATGATTATTTTAATTTACGTTTAAGTCATTAATATTGTCTTCATTACATCGTGTGTGGCGTTATTTATGGACGACCGTAATAGAGAAAATTCCACATAGTTATTAGTATTGTTTAGTATTGTTTAATTAGTCTAATTAACATAGTTAAATTAGTCTAATTAACATTGTTAAATGCGTGTAATTAACATAAGTATAATTAACATAGTCGAATTATTATAATTATTATAATTAACATAGTTAAATTATTTTAATTAACATAGTAAAATTATTTTAATTAACATAGTTAAATTAGTTTAAGTAACATAGTTAAATTAGTTTAATTAACATTGTCAAATGCGTGTAATTAACATAGTCAAATTAGTATAATTAACATAGTTAAATTAGTTTAAGTAACACAGTTAAATTATTTTAATTAACATAGTTAAATTATTTTAATTAACATAGTTACATTAGTTTAATGAACAAGGTAAGGTTGAAGGCTACCTGAGTAGGGTGGGGTCGATTGTTTCTCTGACCGGAAGCGGTGCCAGCCCTCTCTGGACTTGACGGCCTCTGGGACTTCTTGCAGAACTCCACGTCATAGGTTGTCGGGCCAGGGGGTTGGGACTTGGGGACGGTGGTGGCATATCCGCCGGATGTCATGGGGCTGGGGGAGTAGAGCGGGCAGTGTCTTAAGGGGGGAGTACAGCGGTCAGTGTCTTACAAGGGGGAGTACAGCGGTCAGTGTCTTACAAGGGGGAGTATAGCGGTCAGTGTCACACAAGGGGGAGTACAGCGGTCAGTGTCTTACAAGGGGGTTAATTATGATAGGGGGCATACAAGGGGGATAATTTATGATAGGGGGCATACAAGGAAGATAATTTATGATAGGGGGCATACAAGGGGGATAATTTATGATAGGGGCATACAAGGGGGATAATTTATGATAGGGGCATACAAGGGGGATAATTTATGATATGGGGCATACAAGGGGGATAATTTATGATAGGGGCATTCAAGGGGGATAATTTATGATAGGGGGCATACAAGGGGGATAATTTATGATAGGGGCACACAAGGGTGATAATTTATGGATGGGTGTCATACAAGGGGGATAATTTATGATTGGGGGCATACAAGGGGGATAATTTATGAATGGTGTCATACAAGGAGGATAATTTATAATTGGGGGCATACAAGGGGGATAACTTATGGCTGGGGGTCATACAAGGGGGATAATGTATGGCTGGGTTCGTAGAAAGGGATAATTTATGATTGGGATCTTACAAGGGGGATAACTTATAGCTGGGTGTCAAACTTGTGGCTTAATGATAATCAAGGGAGGTTAGTTACGAAGAGGGAAATTATAATAAATACATAAAAACGTTTATAATTACAAGCTTTTATAAATGCACTAAAAGAAAGCGCAGTGCAGGGGGAATAACATACATAGTTTGTATAAATTTCGATATTTTAACACACGTAAAATGAAACCATACTTTAAAAAACTGATATAGTAAAAATTCTAAATTTTTAAAAAAGGATAAGAAAGAAAAAATCTCTTAACTTAATACACAAAGTAGGTGGACCAAAACAATTAGATGTAAAAAAAAATCGTATGGCATAACTTACGAAAAGGTATAAAGTAATGGCAAGCCAGTCATAGCAGACACATTAGGCAGCAACTTACCGAATAGCCCAGACACCAAAGTCTGATTTTGGCGGGAAATCCCTTTCATATGACGTAGAGTAGGGATTCAAGGCAGACGTCTCTTTGTGTCCTGGGTCAAGCGTATACACAATTAATGGATTAACAATATTCAAATTAGTTATTTAACGGAAACATAAAATATTTAAATTAGTATTTAACAGATATTTAACAATATTTAAATCAGTTATTTAACGGAAAGGAACTCGGATTAAAATATGTACATTTTACTGAGCCTTTTTTCTCTCTCAAAATTCGAGTTAATGACGTAACATTGTGTATATTTTTAAGCATGCAATAAATCAATAATCGTTCAAAAGACACCAGTCACATCTGATCAATAACAAATTATATATGCATAATTGATTTAAAATGAGCCAGGTTAGGTAACGTAAGCTTCTTTGTGTTTTGAAACAGAATTTTATAGCGACACACATTAAATTTAATCGATGATTGAGGCTTTTTTAAAAACATTGTGTAATGACGTGCTTTGTGGGGGATGTGTATTATGTGGAGATGTAAGACGTATAGGGACGTCTGTTATGTGGGGACGTCTGTTATGTGGTGACGTCTGTTATGTGGTGACGTCTGTTATGTGGTGACGTCTGTTATGTGGTGACGTCTGTTATGTGGTGACGTCTGTTATGTGGGGACTTAAGGCTTCACTGACGTTAGATTGTAGGTGTATGTGTTTTGTTGGATGGCTGTGTGAAACACGTGAACTCGCCTTCTCAAGAACATCGATGTCCATGTTAGTGGCGGCGTGGTCTAGTGGTAGAGCACAGGCTTATCAACTCTCAGGTCAGGGAATCACCCCTCGACACCCCTCCTCCCCTCCCCTCGAAATTGAAGTGCCCAGAGGAATTAAAACTCAAAGCCTTTCAATATTGTCATATTATCATACAAGTACTCGGAGACTTATAAGGCTTAAGCTAAAAGTTTTTTTTTTCATTTCTTTACATGGCACAACATAGCATTCATAGGTAACTTTAAATAATCAAGGACGACTGGGGGGGGGGGGATAGTTGTATAAGTATAATGGTAAATGGTGGAGGTCTGAGATATATTTGTGTGAGGTATGGGTTATGATAAGGGACTGTGTTCAGAATAGCATGCGTTGTCGGAAGTGTGGATGGTGTGAATGTGTGTGTGTGTGTGTGTATGTGAGTTTGAGATTTAGTATGCGTTCGTGCGTGATTTATTGAGAGTGGGGGCGAGTTGCTTATGTGTGAGTGATGTTTGTGTGCGTATGTGTATGTGTGTGTGCAAGAAAGAGAGAAAGGTTTTAGTTTCCTTTCAATTTTTTAATAACGTATAGTCAGAGATCGATCGGTTTATTGTATGCGTATGGGGGTGGGTGGGGTGGAGGGGGGTAAGACACGGTTGCACTGATCCCGGTGTGAAGTTACCTAACCCTCGGATTATCTTCACGCTTGAGCGAACGAACACGGACTATCACAACTTCAAACCGACATGCTAATTAGTCACGTGATACGGCCTCTACGCCACCGCCCTGAAGCAGTTCATGTTACGGGTGTGACAGCTTTCATTGAGGCGCTCCGTGGCTATCTTTCAATTATTAATCGCCATACACCATTCCACGCTGCGATAGGCGCCGCACGCCGATAATCTCGATTGAAACCTTGCCGATATTTCTTTATTATGGTAGGGCGGCACTGGACAAGTGAATGCATTGATTGGCGAGGGGGTGGGTGGGTGCGGATTTGAAGGGAAGGTTGAATGGAATATGTGTACATATCTTGTACATGGGTGTGTACAAATATTGTACATGAGTGTGTACACAGGCTAATTAGATTGTGTGCGTGTTTGGGTGGTAGTTTTTTGTGTTTGTAGAGTATAACATGTCAGCAACATTGATTTTATTCGTTTTATTAAAATTGGGGTGGGGGGGGGGAGATGTGAAATAGCGTTAAGGGTTGGGGTGGGGATGGTTCGGAGCTCTGCTGGTGACACTACCATATGAGAAGCCACCAAAGATGGTGGCACTGCCCTATGAATTTTCAAGATGCCCCCCCCCCCCCCCCCCCCCCCGCGAATTTTCTTGTCCTTTAGCGCGTAAACCCCCCACCATCAATCAATTAGAAAGATTTAAACGTGTGTTGTAGTGTATTGAAATTAGAGCCGGTCTATGAAAGTAATGAAATATTGAGCGAGTCAGCCTACGTGTGCTACCAATTTGGACTTTGATTTCCTCGCGGCGATGAGGGACCGTTGGGTCAATTAACCCTTTGTGTGCTAGAACAATACAATCAGTCCAGGGAAAACAATACTGTATGTCGAGATAGTAAGGGGTTAATATAACGATTTTTTTTAGATAAACCTAAGAAAAACAATAGTATGTTGTGTGTGTGTTTGTGTGTATGTAAGTCTGTCAACGCGTTTGTGGTTATGTACTTGTGTCTTTATTTGTTCATTCTTGGATAGAAATATCTCAGTGTATATATAGGTATATATATATATATATATATATATATATATATATATATTATATATATATATATATATATATATATATATATATATATGTGTGTGTGTGTGTGTGTATTCCATGTGTATGTGTCATGTGTGTGGGTCGATGTGTGTAACGAATATATGCCTATGTGTTAATTTACATTTGTGTGTGCGTGCGCATGTGTATGTATGCATTTGCCTACGCTTGTTATATGTGCGTTTGTGTATATGTGTGTCTATTTACTTCTGTATGTGTTTGCATGTGTATATACGTGTGTGTATATGTGTTTACGCGATTATTTACCTCTGTATGTGTGTCCATGTAAAATGTAACATATGAATAAAATGGGTGTTATCACATCTATGTGCTATACCTCCACTCATACATTAACATATTGTCTGCGTTAAAGAGGGGTGGGACTGGTGGGGGCTGGTATTCACTGAGTGACGTAATGTATGTAACCATATGTAAACATAACATGCCATTGTTTAACAAAGTAAACATGACATGCCAGTGTGTAACAAAGTAAACATAACATTGCCATACATCACCGTGTAACAAAGTCAACATCACATACATCACCGTGTAACAAAGTAAACTTCACATACATCACTGTATAACAAAGTCAACATCACATTGCCATAAATCACTGTATAACAAAGTCAACATCACATTGCCATAAATCACTGTATAACAAAGTCAACATCACATTGCCATAAATCACTGTATAACAAAGTCAACATCACATTGCCATAAAATCACCGAGTAACAAAGTCAACATCACATTGCCATAAATCACACTATAACAAAGTCAACATCTACATTGCCATAAATCACACTATAACAAAGTCAACATCACATTGCCATAAATCACACTATAACAAAGTCAACATCACATTGCCCATAAATCACACTATAACAAAGTCAACTTCACTCACCGAATGCCGGCATGGCTGACCTAGGTCTGACCGACTGTGTGTCCAATCGTGTGTCTGATCGTGTGTCCGACTGTTTGGCCTGACGTCGCAGCTCTTGGCCAAGGTTGACTGACGTAATCAGTTCCAGACACCTGGCCTTGTCCTGGATGTTGGCCTTGCTGTAGTAGTTCTCGAGTTCTTCAGGAACACGGGGGACAGAACTTCCTCGCCTAGCTGTAGGGGGGGTGAGGGTTGGGGTGGGGGTCTTGTTATGTATGGCATGGTGTAGTAATGGGGGTGGGGGGGGGGGGTCTTGTTATGTTGGCCTTGCTGTAGTAATGGGGGTGGGGGGGGTCTTGTTATGTATGGCATGGTGTAGTAATGGGGGGTGGGGGGACAGAACTTCCTCACCTAGCTGTACGGGGGAGAGAGGTGAGGGGGTGTCCTATTATGAAAGGCATGGCGTAGAGTAAAGAGGAGCAAAGTTGGGAGAGAGGGGTTCTCATACCATGTGTGGAATAGCGTAGTAAAAGGGGGGGGGGGGAGGGTGACAGCACTTACTCCACAAGCTGCATTGGGGGGGGGGGGGGTAGGGGGGCGGGTCCTCCGTTATGACGTAGTGTAAAGGTGAGAGGTAGAAGAGACATTTGAATCTAGGAGATTATTGCCACATGTCAACTACACCGGTCGTTACCCGTTGACAGTACACACAAACAGACAGGACACAGAGTTCTTCCAGGCATCTCTTCGGGGGGAGAGTCTAACGCCCCCCCCCCCCCCCCCCCCCCCCCCCCCGAAAGAAATGGAATTTATATATAAAACTTAATTTTTTACCAGTGCCAGCCCCCTCCTCCCGAAAATACAAAACCACCCCCCCCCCCCCCAGAGAATAAAGTCTGGAAGAAACACTGCAGACACACAGACACGTCTAAAAACCCTTAAGGGCCAAACGCTGACATTTATTTATTCCCCGCCCAAGCTAATTTGTTATAAGTTGGGTTCAGATTTTGTATCCGTTTCCTCAATAGATAAGAACTATTTGTCCTGAGCTTAGCCGTCTCAGCCTCGAATTACGAGCTTAAGAGTTTAAAACCACTCTCTCGTATAGCTATGTGCAGTGGCGGAGGCAGGCTTTTCTCAGGAGGGGGGGGATTCAAAAATTCATCTCACACCAAGTATAACTAGCTTAACGTGAGACAAAATTCATTGGGGGGCTTTGGGAGGGGGGGGGGGGTTGTAACCCTACCGAACACCCCCAATATACGCCTTTTTATGTGGTGTAATTAATATAAATATATGTGTTTGGTTATCTACACACTGATACATGTATATTATTGAATGAAGTAATATTAGGTTGACAATATTTTGTGTATAGGCCTATATGAATACATATAAAGTATACAGATGTGTGTGTTTGCTTATATATATTCTGGAATTCATATGTTCATGGTATTGTTACTAGATCTATTAATACTTAAACAGTGTATCAATATTTGCTACTGAAATTAAAACGAACGGCTTTATGGCCCGTGTTAAGTATCGGCTGGTTGGTTATCGATTTAAACGTCAGCGACGCTGTATTGGTTTATCATTGAACACCTAGATTATCCCGACTGGTAATCTTAATCTACACACCACCCACCACCCTACATCACATAAATTTTTAAATTCTAGCTACGATTTATAGTTACCCTCGTCTCTGTATTCACAACTTCCATTTTAACTGGCGGGCTGGAGTTGTTGAAGGTCCTCTAGACTTCGATTCGAGTCGATCATGGCGGTCGCCATTTTACCGCGGGGTCATACACACCGCGCGCGATTGGTCGGCCCGCGCGTCACGTGGCGCGGTGACGTAGGCCGCGTTGCTAACAGACGCCTCGGTTGCTGTACAGGGTTAATTTACCCCAACGACGACTTTCACTATGTGTTATCGTACGGTGGGGTTCACCATTGGATCAGCATAGGTTGGTCGCACGAATGTACCGCGTACCTCGTTCTTACTTGAGATCTTAATCTATTTTTTTAATACCGGTACTTACAAGTCCCAGAGTCAACCCGGGTTGCTGATAGGACTTGATATATTTTATACCTTTAGGTAAATCTGATAACGATATTTTAACCTTAAACCCACTCTAAATGGGCGTGGCTAATAGGGAACAAGAAACATTTTAATTAGTAAAACTGATATCGATACTGTAAACTCTAATCCTAGCACTCGTGAAGTATCGTTATCAACGATTCCATCCTAGCACTCGCGAAGTATCGTTATCAACGATACCATCCTAGCACTCGTGAAGTATCGTTATCAACGATACCATCCTAGCACTCGTGAAGTATCGTTATCAAACGATACCATCCTAGCACTCGTGAAGTATCGTTATCAACGATAACATCATAGCATTCGTGAAGTATCGTTATCAACGATACCATCCTAGCACTCGTGAAGTATCGTTATCAACGATACCATCCTAGCACTCGTGAAGTATCGTTATCAACGATACCCATCCTAGCACTCGTGAAGTATCGTTACCAACGATACCATTGTACAAGACAACAAGTTGTCATCGTGTATTCTATTGCTGGGATAAGAACATGCGTCTTCGCCCTCGCCACTATATGTATAAGTTGTGTAATTACAACACATGTTACTTGACACTGACATTGGTGAACACTTACATAAGCGAACATTACCCAACATTGATGACGGTAACCTGAGAAAGGTTTGCGCCTTTTTTGTGCAGTAGTTGCTTCCCACCCATTGAAAAATTGGCTACTCCCCTCCCCCCTACCATCTTTTCACAATAGGCATGTTTAAGTAGAATTTTAAAAAAATGTCATTCGACATTTGGGCGGTAATTGGCTTATAGCAGAGAGAACTATAATTTATTTAGTTGGATAAATAAATGAATGAATACATAAATGCTTCATTAAATTCCGCGCTGTTTCACGCAGATAAGGTGAGGGGGGGGGGGGGGGGGAGGGGAGGGGAGGGAGTCACCAGACACTATTGAAACAAATTCAAATTTACAGGAAAACCGAAGTGCCACCTTTTACTATATATCAAAATAATCAAACGCAATGTGGTATAGAATCTTTCTAGTTTAATGAACCGGATGGAGGTTGAAACAAAAGATGTCGCTATGGGGTTTTCCGGTGTGCCACAATACAATTATTGAGGATAAAACACACGGATTTGTTTAAAATCACATTTTTGAAAACATATTTTTACAAGCCTTAAAAGTAATATAAAATTTAACAGTGGCGTAGCCAGGATCGTCTCAAGGGGGGGAGGTGGGGGGGGTCAATTTTTACCCGGGGACAAATTTTCGATTTGCACCCCCCCCCCCTCTCAAACTTTCGATTTGCAACCCCCCCCCCCTCAAACTTTCGATTTGCACCCCCCTCATACTTTTTCTATATACCGAGGGGTCTATGGGGGGGGGGGGGGAGGTTATGACCCCCCTACCCCCCCCCTGCCTACGCCACTGAAATTTAATATTTCTCTTTGGGTATTAATTCCTCCGTACTTTCAACGTGTAGGCCCTATATTAGGTTGTAGGTTATGGACGGGGTTTAGGTCCAGTTGGGGAGGATTTTGGGGAGGGGGGGGTGCATTTTTATACCTATATTGACTAATGACATCTTAAACATGTTGCGAATGATTCATCAAAAATAATAAATTATATGTTCTCTAAAATTATTAAAATAATTAACGCTTTTTATGTACAATACACGAAGTGACTTACCTGACACAGAAAATTATTTCACCCAAGATTTACCGACTAATTCCTCGCTCCCCTCTTCACAAACCACATACAAAGGCCTACATACAGACATACATACAAGAAAGTCATGCAAGCTTCTTATTGGCTGAATATGTTTGTTGTAACGTTAGAACTCTCGTAACCATCGTGTTAACAACGAGAAACAATGGCGGCGCATAAAATAAAGTTGGGTCAGAGGCTAGCGATGAAAGCCGAGTAAAAAACAATGGTGGTGTAGCAAAACAGGCGGGTTAGAGACTAGTTACTATGGTTACAATATCGCTGTATGGCGTGTGTAGATGCGACATGAATTATGCAGCTAGGACGAACAAATAACAAGTCTACTGTTGCGTCTAACCCTTTGTGTTGATAAATGAAAGGTCTTTTGTTTCGGTATAGTATAAAAAAAGCGGAATTGATTGTGAAGAATGAAAAGGAAAATAATGGAGCTATAAAAGATACATTCTGATAGGGTCACTGCTGGGTGGGGGGGGGGGGGGGGATGTATGGAGCCGGGGAGCGGCCTCCTTGCATGAATGAGCATGACTCTGTGTGTTAGATACAGTGGTTGTACAAATGATCTGTCTGTGTGATGTGGAAATGGTGGACTTTGAACCTAGTACAATCGTTATCCTATATTACAGAGTTTCGTCAAAAGAAAACGAGACCTAACCGTCATCACGAGGTTAATATGTCCGAAATGAGATAAAACTCATTTGTCAGTGTTAAAAAAAATGAAAAAAAAAGCCTCCCCGGCGGGGAATCGAACCCCGGTCTCCCGCGTGACAGGCGGGGGATACTTACCACTATACTACCGAGTACATGAAACTTTAAGAGGTTAAGGTGCAGAGGCGTAGCGAGGGGGGGGCGGGGGGGGGGGACATATGTCCCCGGGCGCCGACCTTAGGGGGGCGCCAAATTAAAAGTTTGAGGGGGGGTGCAAATGAAAAGTTCGAGGGGGGGTGCAAATCGAAAGTTTGAGGGGGGGGGGGGGGTGCAAATGAAAAGTTCGAGGGGGGTGCAAATCAAAAGTTCGAGGGGGGGGGGTGCAAATCGAAAATTTGCTCCCGAGGGGGCGCCAAATTGAAAGTATGTCCCCGGGCGCCGGGAAGGGTCGCTACGCCTCTGCTAAGGTGCGCACTTGTAAATTCTCGGGGTTAGGGGAAACTGTTAAAATGATACGTTTTCTATGGGACCTAAAAGTTCTATCCTTTTTCTACTTCGTGCGAGAAGGAGGGTGTGTCTTGCCCCCCCTCCAGCCCCTGGAGATACCTGAATTAAATTCTGATAGTGATAGCGTGGCAGTGTCGCAAGATTTCCTCTAACAGCATCTGATCTTCTCTCATACTATTTTGGCTTCAAGTCCTGCTATTTTAATTTAGAATTACTAGGGCCAGGATGACATCAGACTTTTCTCTACTTGGGAGAGGGGGGGGAGTTCTTGAACGTATATATGTATAAGTAGAGTTACCCTTTCGGATCTGTCTATCTGTAG